GGGGCATCAGTGTTTCACAAACACATCTTGTTTCACTAGTGTTTAGACTTTTTGGTTTTACTGCAGTATGTATCAACATTTTCTTTTGTACATTCAAGCAGAAAATGATAATTTGTTAGAATTTTCTGATAAATTAGTTTTCTTAAATTCAGTCTCACAAAAATTATTGACTATCTAATTTTCCTGTGCAAACCTCAAAATATTTACATTTAGCATACATGCACAGACAGTCTTTGATGTATAGGAAACGCTATGCGTGATATGCGTAAATTTATTTCATTTTTGTTAAAAGTGACATAATCATCATAGGTTAGATGGTCCGAGCGTTTGAATAGTTAATTTGTATTAAATGATTTTTATTGCATTGTATAACACTTGTCACTATAATAAACTATTTACTTACTTAGCAAGACCTCTAGCTATGGGGCGCCAAATTAAGATAAACTCATCTTTGTTTGAAGATATCATCAATTCATTTGATGCGTGCAAAAATTCAATTAATGATCTCTTCACATAATTAATGATATCTTCAATTCTGAATTAATGTACACATTAATTCAAATGTTGATATGATTATTTTATTTGCTGAATTGATGCTCGCAATAATTTTTCCTCTTCTCATATGAATTGATTATATCAACATTTGAATTAATGTACACAATAATTCAACTGGAGATAGCAATAATTCAATGACTACGTATAATTGAATTTTGCTGTCTTTAATTATTGTGTCCATCAGTTCAACTAATGCGCTCATTCATTGGATTGAAGAGGTAAAAACTGAATTTATGCATACATCAAATCAATTTAATTTGTCCCAATCGATTTCCTCCCAATTGATGTGCGCGTCATTTTGTTGGTTGCACGCACCATTTCAATAGATGGGAGCAATAAGTGATTTGATGCGACCATCAATTCAATTATTGCGCTTAGAAATGGAATGAATGATATATTCAAATGTTAATTTTGCGTTCCATAACTCGTTGTGAGACAGACACTACGTGCCTTGAGAAATGCTATAAGGTGGGTGCAATTAGCACAGTCCTCTGTACTAATCGACGTGGAAATCTTTGTTTTAAAGTTTGCACCGATTCAAATCTTCATATAAAAAATATACTGATGGCTTCTTTGCTTTGTTGCATGGAATTTACTTTGGTTGGATATACATGTATACATGAAGGAAGAATAGTAACATGAATTTATTTATAAGCCTTAATCCCTCTATCTTGCTACTGAATCTGACCCGTTATAAGGAAACTTCAATATCTCCATTTTGTCTCCTGAAAACATAACACTGGTACCAAGAAAATGGTAAAAAAAAAATTATAATAGTTTCTTTTAGCTATTCAATATAAGCATAAGGAATTTATAAAATGAATCTATAAAATTGCAACGTTAACTATGTGAATATGAATTCTATGATTAAAAAAAAATCAGCATATACTTAGCGTTATTAACTCCAGTCAAGTAATATTTTGAAAGCAGACCTGGTCCACACAGATGAGGGTTTCACCAATAGAGACTGACAAAGCTGCTCCACAGCAACTGAGGAAATGTCAAACCTTGGAACGATCGGTGACGATGAGACACCCTCGCCTGGACAGACCCTCTGTCCCTCCCCCAGATATACCCACGGTTCCTCCTCCAGCTGTGTCGAATTTTCGACGATCTGCATCCACTGGTACCCTCAGTCAGATTGCATCCATGATTTCTTTTTTCAATGACAATAAGCAAGATAGATTATATTAAATATATCAAAAGTTGATATGGGTAGGTATTGTGTATATATAAAATCAACATCCAATAGGCCTGATGTCTGCTTAATCTGTTAATTTGAGAATTAGGGAGATTTTGTGATATTCAAAATATATTATAGGTTGTATGATATAATGTATGCGTAACTACTATTTATACTGCACAGGATCCTGAAATTTGTATATAATTTGTACAGTGTATATACATGTATATAGACCCCTGCATAGAATATATATAATATAAATATAGTTGTTTTTCAAATATTACTTATTTATGTAAGAAAATGGGTATACTTTGGTCTAAATGTAAATCAATGAAACTAATAACTTTAAAGAAACAGCTGAAAAAAAATTATTAGAGAGGATTTCCTTCAATGCTGGTTTATAAAAAGAGAAGAGGGTTGTCTATCGGGTAAACTTACAACATATTTCTATGTAAAAAGAAGTTTTGGAATTGAAAAGTATTTATTTTTAAAAAAAATTGAACAAAGAAAATTATATGTAAATTTAGAATAATTGCACATAATCTCAGAATTGAAAGTGGAAGATATGAAAAAAATGTAAACACAGAAGGACAGCACACCATCCTTGCAAGGAATGAAAGGATTTGTAGAATGTGCGACATGAATTGTGTGGAAGATGAGATTCACTCACTGATTGAATGTCCGTTATATAAACATGATAGACATGAATTTTTTGAGAATATTGCTAAAAATAATAAAAATGTTGATAGTTTAACAAATAAAGAAAAATTTTTGTGAATTATGTCTAATGACTGAGAATGATATGTTGCTTATCAAGCTGGGTAATTTTTTAATCAAAATTTTTAAAATAAGAAATAGTGAATTATATAATATTAAAAAGAACGAAATGAATGCAAAAGAGTAATAATATCAAATTATTAATACTTTAGTACAAATATACGTTACAAATTCTTTGTAGGTATGCTAATTATATATATATTTTTTAAAAGCATTTATTATTGGTAATCCCCATCTGCTATAATCATCATCATCATCTTCTTTAGTTAGTTTCTTTTCTAGTAATATTGACATGTTGCTGCTATCAATTTTGAATTTCTCCTGTGTATATTATTCTTTACTTGTATCCCTTTAGGGGCCCCAAATTAGTATCAATAAATCTTATCTTATATATGTATACATTTGTTTTATAATGTCAAAAAATGTTTTGTCTTTGCTTCTGTCTTCATTTTTTCTTCCATTATAACACAATGTATGACTGTACATAATGACATTATGAAGATACATACAGAGTAATTAATTTTTTTTTCCATTCTGAAAGGGTATACAATTGAAATATAAAAATAGCCACATGGAAATCATACATGATAATTATATGCCGTATATTCCATTTATGTATTTACTTTGGCAATGTATTGTATCAGCTATCAGTGGCGGATCGAGGAATTTCATAACGGGAGGGGGGGGGGGGCGCAGTGGAAGGCAGGGGGTCTGGAAGCTGTATTAAAGCCCCCAGTGGGTCCAGGGCAAAGCCCTGATGGGGATCCAGGGGCAGCCCCCGGAAGCTGACGATTTCTTACAAATAAGAGGTGTTTTTCCTTGATTTTAGGATAATGAACATATAAGTGCTACATACAAAAAATTCAAACGGGGGGGGGGGGGGGACGCCCGGCGCTGGATCCGCCTTTGGCTATGTAGTTTAAATAAAGATGTTGATATGTGAATTATTTGATTTCATATTAAATCTTCAGAGTCAAATATACAATGCTACATAAAATCTGGCTCTAAGCTGTATTAATCGTTTATCATGAATTTGAATGGACATAAGCATGTTGAGCTCCGAGAAATCCGTCTTTTTTTTTCAAGAATACCTTGACAAGACGAAGGGGTGAAACATTACCGACACACATATTAGAATTGGGACACCACAATTAAACTATCCACGAAGTTTTTTTCATTCCTTTCTTAGCAGCACAAAAACGACATAGAATATTTAATTTTGTTTTAACTTGAAACCAGACCTGGATCGACACAATATTTTAAGGAACGGTAGTCAAGACTTCTCAAAAAGTTTAAATTTTAGAAAAGTTTGATTGCCATTATTCCATGTACCTAAAGTTGATGACAGAAAACATGTTATAGCCTACATGACCAAAGCACCGAACAAACACAAAATGTCATATTGTGTGACTAGGAAAGAGTTGTTAGCTGTGGTAAAAGGATTAAAGTATTTTCATTCATATCTCTACGGACAAAAAGTGATTCTTAAGACTAACAAGCATTCTGAGAGTATTGCATTAGCAATACTAGTCCCCTACCGGCAAGTGTAATCTGGTTCCCGTTAAGAATTGAAAATGCCATAATTTCGTCAGAAATTAATGAAGCGAAACGAAATGCAAACTTGATCTATAACTATTTTACCAAGGTAAAGCCACATACCAAAAATCAGCTCAATATCTACAAGCGTTTAGAAGAAAATTGCGGAAAACCCGTAAAAATTGAAAAGGCCGTAATTCCGTCAAAAATCAATGAAGCGGAACGAAATGCAAACTCGATCTGTAACTCATCAAGATACACTCACATACCAAATATCAGCTCAATATCTGCAAGCGTTTAGGAAAAAAGTGCGGAAAACCAAGTTGGACAGACAGACTGACAGACAGACAGAGGGACGGACAGACAGACAGACAGACAGACGGACGGACAGACTCAGAGGAAACCTATAGTCCCCTCCGGTTTCACCGGTAGGGGACTAATAATGCAGCTGTAAGTTGGAGGAAGAGCTTAAAAAAACCAACAGGCCCTTATTCCTTATGCTTTATTTTTCACTTTTTTTATGTTTCATCGTATCGTCGATGCATTTTAGATAGAAACGTTCTGGTGTTAAAAGAGAATGTCCTAGATGAGTCAAAACGATGTTCAATGTTGAAAATTTTTGTGTTTGTTGCTGCATACTATGGTGATGCCCCACCCCCATCCCCCCATTGAAATGAAATACACTTCTTTTCTACATCTTTTGATTCTAAAATCTACATGATGGGCATATGCCAGATAAAAAAGGATGAAAAAGGATACCAGTTAAGTGAGTGAGTTACATAATTATTAACAATCATCTACATGTAGTTTAATTTTCAGACACCAATAATTTGGAGAGAAAAAAACTCTCTTTCTCTGAGCCTGAAAAGTATATTTCGTCAGTAAAGGAAAGAAGTTATAAGTACCTCCAAGATTGCAAGATTTACATAAATGTGACACCAGTGAAGACTTTAGTTTTTACATTTATTGCTTCAATCATTCTTAGATAACTTTTTACACAAAGAGTCTTTGAAAAACTGGAACACAGATTTACTTGCCTCTTTACATTTTGACAAACACTGCTGAAACTGATCAAGTGTGTAGCTACCCTTTGCATTGACTGTAATTATTCCATAATCACAATTTTCAAATACAAATGTCAACACAGCAACAGCACTCTGTTCTTGTAAGGTGTCAGGGTCCATGAAAATGTCCCCCTTGTCATTTATTGCACAAGTGACTGCTGCCATAAGATACCTCATACTAACACCTGCATCTAACAGAGCCATGCAGGTACTGTTTATACAACACGCAAAAAGAGAGCCCCGGTTTTGGATCTCTTGTACGGTTATAGAAATCAATGACCTAGGATGCAGGTTTCCAAGAATGACAGTTTCACAAGAGTTCCTGATTGTCCTCTCTAACAACTTTTCTGCACAGCCTGGCAATCCTGATTTAGGTTTGTATACTACTTCTATTGTAGCTCTGTCTAGAAGTTCTTTGGCAATCTTTACCTCTCCAGGTCCATACACAGCTGTGGTAACACAGGTATCTCCAAGAGAAAATGTTGAATCTCCATCAGGACGAGATAAATCTCCCAGAGTACATGACAACTCTCTTAACTTGTTGATCTCATTTGCCATTCTCTACAATTAACAATTGTCGAAAGAACTAAATACACATCCTCACAATGTCAAGGTTTTTGTGATGCTGTTCCTCTTCTCAAACCCTTGACAAAAAATCCCTATTTAAAAGTTGGGCTTGTGGTTACACATAATGGTTATTTATAAACCAACCAATGAGAATATATCTTTCAAATTCATCATTTTCAAGTGGCTCAAAGCCATAGCACATCTTCTGTGATTGTAAGGAGAAGGATCTTCCAAAAATTATTCTCTGACATTTTATTTGTAGTAACTAGTCACAAATCCTACAATATTGCCACTTTCCATTGAAAGACAAGTCATATTTGTTTACAAAACTTACCTACTATAAAGGCTATTTTCTGATTTGTTCCCAGTCCTAGCTCAGGAATAGCTTTCTAGCCCAACTTTTAAATAGCAACTTTTGTCAAGGGTTTGTTCAGAGGAACGATACCACAAAACCTTGACATCCTGAAGATGCTATACACAGTGATACATATTACACAGAAGATACTGATGCATGTGTTACATTGGTGGAAGAGCCATGAATCAGTTGACATTTGACTCTTTCTTTTAAAAACAGGATCTAACTAGTTAAGAAGTCATAGAGTTTATTGATCAACAACTGTTATTGTTTTACTAACAGCGTGGCAGTTTCCTTGATGGGGCGTGCTAAAATTTTGTATATTGATTATCATATTACTCATCGATTGGATGTTTGATTTCAATGAAATCAATACTATTTTGCATATGAAACACAGAAACCAGCAATAGCAGTGACAATACTGACCAATCGCATTGAATGATTGTTCACTAGTAGGCAGTAAGCAACAATTGCATGTGGACAGACAAAGCAAGTTTTACTTCCTATAATGACGATATCGATAGCTATATAGTACAACAGTAGCAGAGTAGCCTTACTAATTCCATTCTTTAAATTTCTTATATAAATTTTCTTATAAAACCTTATAAATTTCTTTACGTATTTAAATCTCCATCCGGTCAAATCACAACAAATATGACACAGTCATGCTTTTTTAGGGCAGAAAACGGACTTTGACTGACCACCTGTTGCTGCTGACTACAAATGCCGTACTTGTAAACAATAATTCAACATGACTGGCCAGTGTTATCAGGGTATTGTTGTATTCTGAGTTTCATATGCAAATTAGTATTGATTTCATTGACATCAAACATCCAGTCGATGAGTAATATGACAATAAGCATACAAAATTTTAGCAAGTCCCATCAAGCAAACTGTCATGCTGTTATTAAAATGATAATATTTAGCCCTTTCACAATAACTGTGGTACTGCTCTTTTGCAGGGCAAACAAGACAATTTGACATTTTAGTTGGCAGATAATTACACAACATTTATCAAACAATTGCTATTATGTCAAATTTCCCAAAATATATTAATATGCCCTGCAAAAGAGCAGTACCGCAGTTATTGTGAAACAGTCTATAGTTTTCATAGTTTAAAAAGATCGGAATACAGGAAAAAATATTCAATGGATGTAAACATAACCTGATGATTATTTACAACTTCAATGCGACAATTGCATTATCATGCGACTTGTATGAGAAAATTAATGCCCAGCTTTTCTTAAAAATGAACCATGCACATTGCAAAATCCTGACCCATCCTAGGTTTTTCTACCAGGTAGTACTACCAAAAATAATTTTACTAATTTTCGACTTCAATGGATTAAATACTTTTTAATAGATGACAGGCAAACATGTGAAAAGGACTTGAGAAAAGCTAATCTGACTTTCCATATATAATATTTTTTTCTCTAGCTTTTTAAATACTTCGTAACGTGCAACACGGGCCAGCTTTAGTTATTACTCACACTTAATCCTGTTCACGTACAACTGAGAATATTCTGATAATTTCATACGATATACTTACATCAGAGTAAACCCTCTGTCATATATTTTCGTATGTATGCTTTCAAAAGTGTGAAATTTTGAATAAAATCGGCAAATCTATCTTCACATGGTATTTTGCGGGATGTTCGGAATTAAGCAAGTCATACCGAGTTTACTCGTATCACTTTATTACCCCCCCCCCCCCCCCCCCCCCCAAATAGAATAAAATATTTTAAATTTTTTTTTAAAAAACTGTACTGTTTTTCCAAATGTTTAATATATCACATTTTAACATGTTTCAGTGGTCAAAGGCACCTGCCCCACCCCATCCCACCCCCCTTCCATCTACCTTTGGACATGATAACATCAAAAGTACATATACCATATCATACCTAAATTCTGATAGCTGATATTATTTCAGATTTTTTGAAGTTTAAAAATACAGTAGGAAAGGAGGAACACATGGACATAAAATAAACACTGTATTGTACGGAAGCGTAATAGGGCCGCAGCAGTATCTTTTATTAATTTGTTTTAACAAATTACTAATTTGTTATAACAATTATCAATTTGTTATAATAAATTATCAATTTGTTAAAACAAATTACTAATTTGATATAACAGATTATTTATTTGTTATAACAAATTACTAATTTGTTATAACAAATTATCAATTTGTTATAACAAATTATCAATTTGTTATAACAAATTATTAATCTGTTATAACAAATTACTAATTTGTTATAACAAATTATCAATTTGTTATAACAAATTATCAATTTGTTAAAACAGATTACTAATTTGTTATAACAGATTATCAATTTACTAATTTGTTATAACAAATTACTAAATTAAATTTGATATAACAAATTATCAATTTGATATAACAAATTAGTAATTTGTTATAACATATTAGTAATTTGATTTAAAAAATTATTTTTTTTTTTTTTTTACAAAATATGAAGGTGAATACAGATCTATGGAAGCCAGATCAGATCAGAAATCTTATTTTAAATCGGGTTTATGAACACGTTAAGCATAAGCTTTGGAGAGCTTTTGATCAATATGTTAATGTGGATTTAGATGAATTAGCAACTTAGATTAAAGCACTTTAATTTTTGTTTAATTGCAGTTTTTTTTTTAAAGTTTTGTTTTGTTTTGTTGTTGTTTGTTTGTTTGTTTTTTTTTTTTTTTTTTTTTTTTTTTTGAGTCAGTTCCTTGGAATAGATTTCTCTGTTAGACAATTAAAAGAATAGCTGCATCCCAGGGATTATGTAGAAGAAATACAGAATGTTGGATCCTTCGAGAAAAATTCGAAGTTCCGGACAATTAAATATGACTTCAACGTCGTCCATTCAAATCAACACTTTTTTCAATGTCAACACAGGGTCAAAAGGGGAGAAGACCTATTTTTTTCCTTCTTTACACATGTGTAATATTTTGTGTGTATTGTTATAACAAATTATATTGCTTAACGATTTCTTGTAAAATATATGAGTAGTCCTATATGAGACAACCAGGATACAAATTACAAATGAATTTGAAGAAACAACTGTCAAAGTTTTCAGCCAATAATAAGTTATGAAGGCTTTAGTGGGACTTCGAGGGCTTTTCCAAAAGGCACGTATTTTGATTATAAAAATTACATACATACATGAAAAAATTTCACAAGGTATCTAAATTCAAATTTTACGAAGTACTACCCACTCAAGAATATTGTTTATTTTCGTTTTTCAGAAAAGGTTATTACAGAGTGTTTATCAATTTTTCTATGATAATTTATCTACAAATTCATTTTTTATCAATGTTGCCTTTATTGCCCCCAGCATAAATTGGGGCCAAGGAGGTTCACCAGAGGAGCAGATTCAGGTTTATGCATTAGGAACGGCGGTTTAGTTTAAAATATATTTTATTCATGATACATAAACTGGATTGAACAGTAGGCATAAATCATTTGGTACATGTATAGAATGAATCGAGAGAGAGAGGGAGGGGGGGGGGTAAAATGAAATAAAATAAAAGACACATTGAAAAAAACATATTATAATGAACATGTTGATTCAGGGTGGGAAAAATTCCCTCTCCAAATAACATGTCTTTGATAAGATATTTTTTCCCGGCATACGAACGGGGATGCAATGACCTGGTAAATGGGAGTCAAGGACGGAGCCCTGGTGGGGGAGGAGGACAAAATTCAAATAGAGCTCCTAAGAATAAGTAAATAGGAACCAAAGAATTTGATGCATTGTATCTTTATAACAATAATGTTTGACAGTGAAAAAGATGTAAATCCAGATTAACATATTGGTCAAAAGCTGTAGCTGCAGAGCTTGTACATTTATTATTTTCACAAATCCAACTTATAAAAAAATTTCTGATCTCATCTGGCTTCCATAGATCTGTATACACTTTCACTTTATCAAAATTATTAATTTGTTATAACAAATTACCAATTTGTTATAACAAATTAATAATGTTATAACAAATTAATAATTTGTTATAACAAATTATTAATTTGTTATATCAAATTAGTAATCTGTTATATCAAATTAGTAATCTGTTATAACAAATTAGTAATCTGTTTTAACAAATTGATAATTTGTTATAACAAATTAGTAATTTGTTATAACAAATTAGTAATCTGTTATAACAAATTAGTAATCTGTTAAAACAAATTAGTAATTTGTTAAAACAAATTAATAAAAGATACTGCTGCGGCCCTAATACGCTTCCGTAGTATTGACATATTGAAAATACAGTGTATATTTCTGGACTAGGAATTCAGAACTCATCAGGTGCTCTATATACCATTGAGCTATCCTGTAAGTCTGTTGTCCACATTTCATATAGTCCAAACTACTACACGAGATTGTCCCTTAATTTATAGGTATATATATATTTAAAAAACTACTACATCTTGATAAAAGGTAAACCACAGGGATCGGATATGTAAAACTTAATGGTGTCTACGGGTAATCCCAAAGCATAATGTTAACCATGGTAAATGTGGCCATCATCTGCAGATTATAGTATCAATAACAAGATGAGAAGGAATCTTATTGCAGTGAACAAAGACCAATTGAGCATTAAAGTCAAGGCCAAAAGGATTAGAGGTGTGTAATGTTTTCTGGGCCCACAGACAATAAGAAACCGTAATCATGATTTTTGACAAGACAGGATATGACCCTGAATCTAATTGGAAATATCTGCATCTAAATTTAATGAAATGTCCCCTTTTTTCATAGTATTGCACACACCCCCCCCCCCCCCAATTTTTACTTAAAACTAATTAATAAAGACCCAATCTGTAATCTACACTGGCCACTTATAATGGCAATGATTATGCAGTCTTGATTTTATACATTGTAACTAAATACCCGGTAATTATGATGATGAAATGCTAATCATATACATATAGTTTGCCTTTCTTGAGGATTTTTTCCAATACAGAAAAAAAAAAAAAAACTATTTATAAAATTTAAAACTTTTCTTGTGTTCCCTTCATAATATATTTTCTTGGTTTAAACTGCTGCTTTAGGGGGAAAAAACATAACATTACACATTGTAGTGTATATTGTCCACAGACAACAAACCATGGAATCCTGTTTTATTACAAATGTTGCTACAAGAGGGATAATCTTAATAACAGTCAATGACATTCTCTTCATCCTCTTCTTCTTGACCTTTGTCCAAAGACAAAATATCATCCAACAAGGACAGAGAATTATAGTCATATTCAGTGATAAATTTTGATTCCATATCATATTTTTCTTTGCTTTCTTTTATTTTATCATATATTTCTTGAACCAAACTGCTACAGCAAGAGCACCAAAAGCTGCCTGTATCCCCGTGTCCATTTGTCAGTGGATTTTCAAGTACAATAAGTCTCTCCAAGTGTTCACTGATCCAATGTAATTCCTGGTGAGTTTTCTTACTCACACTAGGGTCATAATCACAAGACAGCTTCAGGAGTACATCAACAGCAGTGGCAACAGAAGAGGGATCCCTCTTTTTTCCCCGTCCACATTTTAAGCATCCTGAAAATACCACTGTTCTGCTTGAAGTTGTTATGTCTGCTGCAAAGACATTTTTCAAGATTATACACCAGAAATCTACCACTTTTAGTTTGACCTCCCAGTCAAAGTCTGAAGGCAATGAGAGAGAGAAACTCTGGGTGATATTTTGTATGGTGTCTGGCTGTAATTGTTCTAGGAGGGTCCCCCAGCAGTGTGACAGAAGGGTCACTGCACTCCTCCTTGGAAAGGCCTCACTGTCTGTGTTACAGATGTCTAATACCCCAGAAATAACCTCATCCTGAAACAAAGAAAGAGTTTAACTTTACATTATGTAAAAATGCAGCTCCTTTACAATGAACTTGAAAATCTCTACTTTCATACATTGTTTGTAGAACTTATTTTTTTTAATTACTCCTCATGAAAGAAATACACAAATTAAAGCACATTTTTAAACATTAGAAACTATCACTTACAATTGAACTGCCTATGTCCTGTAGCAGACTTGTAACATGGGTGGACGTAAGAACAGTCTGTAGAGTACTGAGACCAGTAGCTCTTACATAACTCTCCCCATCACTTACAGCTTGATATGCAAACACAAGGAATCTAGAGTCCAGAATCCAACTCATCATAACCTGACTTTCTAAAAGTGAAGAAACCAGAAACCATTAAAATAAATACAGAATAGTCAGATTCAATGCATAATACATATTCATGTATATTTCAACCTTAACTGCAATGGCCTATGTGGAATAATGTGCATACCAAAGAATTAAAACAAAGAAACTTAAGGCAGATACAGGCCCCTAGAATTCATTAACACACTCCTTTGAAGGTAAAAGTCAATAATTAAGGTTGTATTCTACATTTTATGTCCTGATTTTTATACACACAGGTGACTGTATGCTGTGATCATAAATAAATTTCAAAGTCAATTTCTAGAGTGGAACTGAAAGCATGATTTACCACTAATGAAGTTAAAAGAGAACAATCATAATGGGTCACGCAAAAACAGTTGAACTATTTTGAGTTATTTACCACCCAGGTTCATGGGTCAAGGACATATTCAACTCCGCATGTTTCGATATGGTATTGAAAACATCCAAATATTTCAGCATGTCTTATCAACAAGCTAAGTTAGATGACAAACAGTCATCCTCAAAAGAGACATATGTTCATTTTTACAAATTTCAAGGTCTAGGTCAATTCCAAATGTGACAGTGACAAATAATCTTGTGAAGTTACCAGAAAATATTTGTTCAAGGTCATCCACAATAATCAAACACTGTCCATAGACCAGGTTTTGCTTCACAATCTGCCCCAAAAACATTACACAATATACTGAATAAAATACTACCAAGATTTTTATTGACTGAATTACAGCAGGATTAAATTGGCATTTACATGTATAAGAAACTGTAACAGCATACTGCAAAAATTAAAGATAATGAAACATGTATGCATCGGTAGCCTAAATGTACTGACATGTTAAATTTTTACATACAGTGATATTACCTTTGTTCTTTTCCAGAAGCTTCTTCACAAATTCACAGCTAGTGTCCCTGAATTCCCAGTCCATACTACAGAAATTCTTCTGGACTGAGTCCCGTATCTTACAAAGATCTGAAGTAACTGTAGACGTGTCTGAGGAATGACGAGAACTAGACAAAATCCAAGGCAGCAGTATACATAGACAGTCAAGGCATTTCCTGTATATCTGTAAAAATGTTTACATGACAATGCATGTTAAAAACCATTTCTCAACATCAATATTATTCTATGATAAAAATGGATATGCATATTAAAGAAAAGTTTATTACATGTACTGATTTAACTTGTTGCATGCTTCGAAAAAAGATATCCTTTGGATGTGAAATGATGTGTCTAAATTCTGTGTTGAGAACTTACTGTGTGGTCTGTTGAAGAAGCAGTAATGTTACTGATGACAGAGAATGCAAAGGGAATCAACTCCTCACAGACATCTGAAAAAGGAAATCACTGACATAACTTCTATAAGTTAAATGATGCATTGACAAAATCATAAGGTACATGATTAGAACAAACATAAATCAACACTTCGTGGGGATACCTATACATATTAATTTGACTCATAGTGGTGCTGCTGTTCTTGAAAATCTTTTTGAAACATTCTTACATTTCTAAGTAAACTTTATCTTTTTGTGGCTTGATCATTCTGGCTTTGGTGTAAATTGACCATGATTTCTAAAAACAATCTTGAATATACATGTATATGCACTACATGGGGATGCTTGCATATTAATTCTATTAAAAGTGGTCTTTTGCTCTTGAAAAAGATTTTTACTTCTACATTACTATGCAAAACTTTGACCCAAGTTGGTAGCTCTAAACTAATCCCAGGCACAGTTATTTAAACAAACTTAAATGATCACTAGATCGGAATAATTTGCATATTATATTTGATGTAATGTTTTTCTGCTCACCTTGGGAAGATTTAGAATATTTTTTATTCTTATTCATCCTATCCCTCTTAATTTGAATAATGAATTTGAAATTTCCTTACCCAAGATGTACTTTTTAATAAGTTCATTTAATATGGTCCCATTGTTCTGGAGAAGTAGTTAAAATTTTGATAATCTGTCACACCAATAAGATAACAAACAGATGTAGTACAAACTTTGATCAGAAAAGCTAACTTGAGCCCTATTGGCTCAGGTGAGCTAATATTTTCCAGCTCTAACTGCTGAGCTTTACACTTACAAGATTCTAAATACTCTAAACATCTGATTTGTATTTTAGTCTTCCAAGAGATTAGATTTTGAGAGAAAAATGTATCAATGATCTCCTCTTGTCCGTCAGCCGTCATCCTCAAGACTTTATAAACCTGATTACAGATCTCCGGATTCTGCAAGAGTCGAACATGGATACTAATTTTAAGATAATACAATAGAGATCTACATTTACTCTATATTAAAAAGTTTGATTTTTTTCAGATTTTTCAAATTATTAGTGCTCAATTGTTATTTACAATCTAGATGGAAAAAAAAAATCCATAAAAGGCTTCACTAGTTCAAGAAACTCACATGTATATTACATTCATTGATAACTGTAAGACTCTGACATATAGCAGAGAGGCAAGGGGAAGGGGAAGATGGTTGTTTTAAGTTGTCTAGCTGTAATGGTCTTACTATTAAGTCTTCCAAATCTCTTTTTTCTATGAGACTGCAAAGCAAATTAACAGCAATTTTAATACAATCTCTAAACTTTTCTGTAGCAACAAAACATTAAGTAAATACAGTATGTGTATAGTAAATGCAAAAAAAAAAAAAAAAAAAAAAAAAAGCTTAGTGTCTCATTTCAAGTGAATCATGTATCTTTTTAATGTAAATTTTAATTCAATTAATAAACAGTAATGGGTTTAGTCCAGAGGAGTAATACTTACTTGACAGGATAGAGGATCTTGGCAATATGAAGACATCTAACACTGTCAAGCATGTTCAATAACGGTGATATTTGAGATTTTACTCTAACAACCTCCATTTCACTTCGACTATCAAGAAATAAAAATATATAATGAAATTAGAGTCATCATTAATCATTCCGAAATCTTAAGCAATACCTCACAGAGTTATCCTACCTTTCAGATAATCTACAAATACATCTTGTGGCAGTTGTAACAGCCTGTGTATTTCCATTCTTCATTAACCAAATCAAGGGATCAAAAATCTCATCAAAGCATTCACTAAAATAACACGGCACTCTCTCTAGTACTCTTAAGGAACACATCACTGAAGGGGAGAGAACTCTTTGGCAGTCTTTAGTTTTCAAGTCTACAATAGTGGCCTGGAGTTCCTTGAGAAGGCATTTTGCCTCTTCTGATTCAGCCATATCACTAGTAAACACAGAATTAATAAAATCTGATGCAGCTCTTGACAGAAAAATACTCCTCTCTTCCCTCAGTACATCAAATGACTTCATAAATATTTCTGAAATAGAAGATTGTGATATTATCTAAATGTTAACTTTTATTTTCTTACATAAAGGGGCATGAAATTGTGAAGAAAAAAAAATAAATCAAGATACATAGACATACGGTAATTTCAATATGCTCTATCTGCTCAAAATTGGAATTGCTCATGTGCGCCTTGACTACTACAATTTCCTTTATTTATTCTTACAAAGAACAAGTGAATATCTTTTCGTTTTTCTAACTTACCTTTAAGATTTATATTTGCACAGATATCCTTGGCACTACGGAGAATGATTGTCAATGTTTTGAGCAGTGCACAAGAGACAGAAAGATTCTCCATCCATTTATTTGATAAAATAGTCTCAATCAATGATGATATAATGTTCAGATGAACCAATGAAAACTTGATCTTAGAAACCAGCCTTCCTATCAATTGTACAGCAAAAACCAGAGTGTCTGGTCTGACATCAGGGGTTTTTCCTGTAGCCTGTATAAAACTGATCACTCCACATTTCTCTGCAAACTCTGCACTGATCACTATAACGATAAATAAAAAAAAAAAAATAAATATTTCAATCAGCACAAACATTATATATATGCATGCACATCATTATCAGCAGATCAAAAGATAATTCAACTTTTGGAATGAAATGTTTAAATCTTGCTGATATGACCAGTTTGTTTACTATAAATTGACTCAAGTTTGTTGTTTACAGTAGACGACAATTTGTACAGAGATTGATCAATTATCAATAAGGTTAAATAAGAGAGAAAATGTACTGAATCAAAGAGAAAAAAATGTATATTCTATTGTCAAATAAATGAAACATTTAATCATCTCATAATTAAAAGAATATAATGGAATATCCATTCAATTCCTTTTGAACCCACATGTAGAGTAATTATTTTTTTGTACCTTTTTCACTCAAATCATCAAGCAGCTTTTGATATAATGTGTCATCATGAATCTGACACTTTGTTGTCTGAAGGAATTCTAAAGCTTGTTGAAGTTTCTTACAATACTCTGTTTCTGCCATGTTTAGTCACTTGGATAATGCACTGAAAAGCTGAAGAAAAAAAAACATCAAAAACATGAGGAACTTAAAACCAGGTCTGCAAGACATCATCTTAAGAACAGAGATTTACATATTCCCATAATTATTATTCATTGACATTACCATAAAACACCAAATTTTAAAAAGGAGAACCTTTTTATTCAGCTGTTATCTTCTAAAAATGCTCTCTCTCTCTCTCTCCCTCTCTCTCCAGAGAGGAAAACTTTTACTACTAACCAACGACGAATTCAAATTCAATAAAAGTTGAAAAAAAATCATTGGCATGGGGATGCTGATCTTGACGAATAGGACAGATAATCCGCAGTTAATTAAAACACTAGTCTTCACTCTAGGTACGTAACTCAGTATCCCACATGCTTAACAATAAACATCGGGTTCGAAGTTTGGAGGATATAAATCGAAAGACTAAAGGTAAGAATTACTTAACTACTGAAGCGCCACCAATCGGAAAAGCGTCTTTGGATCCGCAAGGCAAGTTGAGGTATTGACAAGAATGTAAACATTTTCTGATCAACTGCTGCTTCCTTAATCCTAGGAAATAACTCGGTAAGAATTGTAGTCACAATCTATATAACTGTACGTCCAAGAAACCTGTTAACCTGTTGGGTACTTCAGTAGGCTGTTTGGTTAGCACTGCACTGGCTGCCTCATTAATTCTCATTAAATTGATTAATAATAATATGCTACGTTGGATATATAAACAAACGAGTATACGTGATTATGATAGTACATGTAAATATGCTTTACAGTACAATATCAAATAAAGCAAATCAAAATTACTTTGAAAATAACTGAAGGTAGTCAGGTTGGTATGTTCTTATGTTGTTGAGAGGAACAAGGTGTGTTTTCACTTTTAATATTTAAATATACAGCATTTACTTGAAAACTTCATCTTTAAGTTTTGGGGGTATCCTTGTTTAGGAAATTGAAGTATAGGTATAATATATGTAAATACTGATGTATGAATATCACTCTAAAAGATAGCTGCAGAACTGTAGAAAAAAAATTGACAGACCGGAGAGCTACAGTGCCACCCATAGAGAAAACTGTATATTTATTGTGCACAAAAAATTGCGCTGTTTCTCGATTTATTTCTCCGTATTTTTAAACTGCAATCTCTAAATATTACTGACTGTGTGTTCCTAACACATTTTTGCACTATTCTCACATCAAAACATTTCCTATAACCATTGTTAATAGCCCTCCTGGGCCTGAAATTAAGACCATCCAAAATTTCCCTTGTTAATACATGTACTGCCATTTTGGGTGGCTAGACAATTAAGCCAAACGCGCTTTGTAAAGATTTTAACTTCAAGAGTAGTTGATAGAGGTCTATGGAATTTTTTGAAATCGAGCTTTTGTGCAGTTGAGGTAAGAATTTGGAGAAAAAAATCCAGAACCGAGTGCAACTTTTTATGCGCAATAAATATGCGGTTTTTTCTATGGGTGGCACTGTAGCTCTCCTGTCTGTCATTTTTTTTTGGAGAGCTACAGTTATGCAGCTATCTAAACGAATGAGAAGTTTACACTTTGGTTTCCCTTTATTTCAAGGTAAAAGGCTACATGTAGTTCTAGACAAATTTTAACAGGCTAAGGGCTGATGTTTATCAACAAAGTCTTTGTGGACCTTACTACAATTATTTTTTATTTTTTTAATTTCTATGCAGCATTTCTATCAATTGAAGCGGTAAATTTGGCGGGTTCTTAGGGAAAAATTAGTTTAAGCACAAATATTTACGAGTCCATGTAGAACTGTTTCCAAACTCACTTTCCTCTTCACAAATAACAATGGTGCATATTGCATAGCAACCACAAACATGACCAATTAAGACAAGGTGGCATTTTAACAATCCCAGAAACTCTATATAAGGTAAATTGAAACATTTCACAGTTCTCGAGTCATTATAATGACTATAGAATTTGCAAAATTAGATTATATAAAGCCCTGTAACATCAACTTTTCAGTTGGTAGCTTGTCTCTGTTTAAAAATTTAATTTAATTTTATCTTATCAAATTTTACTTTATTGAATAGGTTTGGCTTTACAGCTGCCATCATGTCATTCAGTACATCAGAAGATGACTTGGGAGTACTGAAAGAAAAACACCACAGGTTAACGGTGAAGTCAGTGGCCAGATATGCCTTGGTTTTTATGCTGGTGGCTGTAATGGTAGGTGTTAGAGTAATGATTTACATCTCTTTAATTAAGACAAAAATGATCAGTATAACTGTATTAATTCAGAATAATGATAATGTTTACCAACAGATGTTAATTTTTTCCTTGGTTTTTAAATCTTTAAAGTAATAGCTAGGATAAAATTAATGGGGTTTATTAAGTTGTTAATAAATACTTTAAATGTATTACATTTGGCTGGGTATTCTTTTTAGCGCCTTTGGCAGAGAGCAGTTTCCACTAATTTAAATACAATGCTAAATGCCTAGCACATATATCCAAAAATAAGAACATTAAGAAATGTGCTAAATCAAATCTATGCTAACTTGTTCAAAAATCAATTTCTGCCAAATATCGTACACACTAAATATAATACATTTACGGGGGGGGGGGGGGGGGGGGGGGGGGGGGGGTTATGTTTTATTTTAATTAATGGGTTCTATAATTTTATTTCACGTTTAATATTTTCATTTTGATTATACTATCAGAGCTGCCAACATAATGAAATGAAAAATTGTAAGGTAGAAGTCTGGGGCCACTTAGTCACTGGAGATTTTTTGTAAATGATTTTTCCATTTTCTTTACTTTAAAATGATTTATATGGCATGAAAATGGACAATAACAATACAAGCAAGTGTTGTAAGGACTTTTTCTTTTGTATTATAGTGAAAACTGAAAGTAGACAGCTATGGAAATTCCAGTATTTTAAACTTTTGAAGGAGAAAAAAAGAAATTGGAAGAATCAATAGAAAAATTGAAAGGCACATTTTAGACACTCAATCCATTGTAAGCCTTGCACCAAAATTGTAAGGATTGGCAGCTGATAAGTCATGAATAATCATTTATAGGTGGCTTCCTTGACAACTTTTGTTGTTGGGATTTTTACACTGGAGGCAGAGTATGGAAGTAGGGTGGTGTCTGGTCTCTTGGGAGAGGGGATGTACCAGGTGGACTCGCTTATGATGCTGTCAGCAGGGGCAGGGGCTATTCTCGTGTCTACGCTTGGACTTTGTGGGGTTCTCTGTAAGAATAAGTGCATGCTGGGACTGGTAAGTCACAAGTGCACTTTGGTTAATTTTTCTAAAGATTTCATAAAAATGTGTTGTTTTATGTGTTCCTGTCAATGTATGTTTTGACATTGATGACAGTTGAATAAGAAAGTCACAATTTTTATTTAATATGGATTGGGTATTTAAAGGATTGGAAATATTGGGAAAAAAATAGAAGGAAGACATAAATGGTTGTCATAGTGATCAGATTTTGCTGTTAATATTTTGGAAGGAAATTATTTTCCTGACACAGAATTATTAAAATGATATTTGTTTTTATTTAAGCACCTTGGAATCCTAGCTTTCCTCTCAATAACATTACTGGTAGCAGGGGTTTTGGGTTATATTTTCATATCAGAGGTAAGTATGCACAGAGTGCAATATCAAAACAGCATCAATGAGAAACTTGTAATATATGCATGTAGAAATGTAGTGGTAGTAATGAATGATGTTGATTTTTTTTTTTTACTCAATTTCTAGATTGTAAATGATCTAATCAATATGCTAACAACAAAAATAAATATTGATAATGATTAAATAGTCCAGGTTTAAAATATTGTTTTCAAATCTTCATGTGTGTGAAAAGCAAATGAAATTCATGAAAAGATACAGCCCACAAAACAAATACTGGTGTACATATCTTATGCTCTAGCATGGCAATTTTTTATTAGGTGAATTTCTAAAAATCACCAAAATTATAAAATAGGCTAAAATTATATACCTGTCAAGAAAAAAAAGGCTAGTTAGGGTATATGATATTATATTGTCAATTTTATCCATTCACGAATCCTTGCTTAATGTATTCCAGAGAAAAAAGTTTCAAGACTTTCAGCATCAAGTATATAAATAAATTATAAAGCTCTTTATAAAGGTCTTTTATTCGTAGAAATCACTTTGATTTATTTGTTGCAGTTGGAAGATACTGCCAAGAAATCAATGATAGAGGCCATCACATATAAATATGGAGTGAACACAGATAGGAATAAAAAACATTCTGCTATCACAAGTAGCTGGGACAGTGTTCAAAGATCTGTAAGTTGTTGATAGTGTAATAAATGTACTTTAAAACTTCATTTATTTGACTTTCAAAAAATGGTTCAAAATATATTTTCATGTATGATGTTGAGTTTTTATCTACATGTTCAAGACAGAAGTCTATCTCTATTCCACAGTATTCTATTAAATTGTAAAATGGTGAAATATAACCACTTTGAGATATTTTTTTTCAAACAGAAACAAAACAAGATTGATAGAGTTTGATAATATTTTCAGTTTGAGTGCTGTGGGCCGTATGGTGACGAGAACAGTACCACCTCATGGTATGCCTACAGAGATTCCAGTTACTGGTACAAGGACAAGTTTTCAAGTAAGGAAAACAATAGATTCATTATCAACACATTGTTTCCCATTAATTTACTGAAAGGTTTTGTCTTAAAATTAATGTACACATCAACAATAGTAAAGGATTGAGGTTCCATCCTCTCTTTTGCAGACATGAAATTTACATGTGCAGTATTTTAAGAATTATTGATATATAACTTTAAAAATCAATTTTTTTTTTAAATCCAATATCTTACTTCATCAATGCATTGAAATTTTGGGATAATTGTTTAGATGGAAGCCTGGTGCCTAAGAGCTGCTGTGAACCCTCCAGTGACATGGAAAGATGTCAAGGACTAGTGCCATCAAATGCTCCCCCTTCTCAGCAGCCACCTGTGCTGAACAAACCTGTCAATTATACTCTATACACTACAGTAAGTGGACACAGAAATCAATCTTCATAACTCTCTTGTTGATATTGTACTGTGTTATTTTTACTGTAGTTTTAGATTTGCATTTTTTCTTGGCAGTATATCCATGAAAATAAGACTATGGTGAAATAATCCTTGAACGAGGAGAACGAAATGAATGTGCACAAGATATAGCATAATCAGACTTCCCTCAGAAAACAGCAAACATATATAAATTAATCAAATCAGAGCTATACTTTGAAATCACTTATTTTGGTGAAGTCAAATTTTCATGGTTTGAGGAAAAATTAATGCTTTGAGGGGTTTTGATTATGTGGATAAAAAGAGAAACATCATAATAAAGTATGAAATTTTAGCATTTTGTGGAGGATATGAATTTGTGGGTAAGTTCATACCATGAAAACAATGAATATCAACCCCAACCCCCCAACCCCCCCAACCCCCCAGTGATTTCACAGTATTTGCTGATTAAGTATTTTCAAGTCACTTTTTGTGGAAACAATACTGCATGGATCTTGTTTGTAGGGATGTTATGACAAACTTCAAGGATATATCCAGCAGAATGGAATAATCATTGGTACAGCAGCTATTGTTACCGCTGTCTTCATGGTGAGTAACTAAAGTATTGGTAGGTCACACATTGTAATGAGAAATATGCCACAGTGTTGATCTCCCATTTGTCTGTCAGCTGAATTACTCCTATGCTACCTGTATATTCCCTGTCATTTTCTTGTATTCTATTCATTATTTTATTTATGTTTTGGGATATTTCAGATAGTGGAGATGATTCTAGGAATAATTGTCCATCGGTCCACCTGAGCCATCTGTACCAGTAATTTCCTCGGGCATTGTTAGTTGCTGGCAACTACAGTCAGTTGAGTCCAAGATTGTTTTATACACATTCCTGTTCTTTATTTCCATCTGTGATAGACTTTTAAAATTAAGCACTTTGTAATAGTATACAGCACTTGATTCAAAGATGTTTTAAACTTTGAAATTACAGAAAATGTCATCATTTTCACAGTAACTATACTCCCTAACAAGAAATATTTTGGAAGTTTTTAAAAATTGCTTGTGGTCATAGATATGTTGGGTAGTGATCTGCTTAATACATGTACACAATAGTAAATTATTTTCATAATGGTCATATTGCATTAACAATTTAAATTTGATTTCCTTTTATTTCCCCCAGCAGAAAAATTATTCTGGTTTCCAGAACCCCCCCCCCCCAATAAATAAATAAATAAATAAATGAATGAAAAAACAAAGTGATACATTCCAATATGTAAATCTTGAACTTTTTATTTTTCCAGATGTATATGTATTTATTTTTCCTGTATGTAAATCATGTTGTATATGTATTCCACCAGTAGTCAGTTTAAATTTTATTTCTGTAAAAGCTAAATATTTTTATGCAGAGAAAGTGTACATTGCCTCTTTCATCCTCAATTCAATGATTTCGTGTTGATAAGGTTATTTAAAGAGAAAAAACAAAGATGATAAAAAATGTGTACAAGTATGAATAATCATTGTTGTCAATTTTAAATGAATATGATTATTGCAACAAGAGGAATGTTATACCTTTAAAATTTGTTTCCTATATAAATCTTCACTAAAAAAAAAAGTCTAGCATTTCCAATGTTTCAATAAGTGGTCCAAAAAAATTGATTTTGGACCACTGAGTGAGATATTGGACCTGCTGATGAGATATTGAACCACTATGACATTTTTTTATGTCACACACACACAGATATATCTTATTTGCATTCTGACATTGGTGTTCGACAGTTATGGAATTGATTAAATCCGCGGTGTGGGTAAACAAAATTTACATCAATTATTGCAAACATGGAAGCCAGTGAAAGATATATCACAATAAAAACTAAAGGTATAACAAAACATTTATTGACTATGTTCTCAGGAAAAATGAGTTTTGTCGACCCCTCGAACCAAACTGTTTGCCTTTGGTTTAATGGCCTCAGGCAAACAATTTGGTTTTGGGGTCCCACAAAACATATGTTGCCCTCGAACCCATTCAGTAAATGTTTATTTTTACATTTTCCACAATTTAGAAATTTACTCGAAGTACTTTTCTGATGCCTGCTATTGTACCACAAGTTTTGGAACTTTAGATCCATAATTTTTAAAAATATATATTTTCATCGAGATTATGCTACATCTTTGTATTTAATTTATAGCTGTGTTTTTTTCATAAACTAAAGTTGTGTAAATTATTTATTCATATTTTGAAAACATGTCTTTTTTTTCTTTTTTAGCTTATTTGATTTTGCTAGGTAACTAATAAGAAATTGTGATATAATAATGTACAGATCTGTACTTAATGCACATGCATTTATTTATAATACTTTGTTTAATATTGTTTTTGTAAATAAGCATGAGTTTGATTTTAATTTCTTATGCTCAAATTGTGAGATTCTAAGTCAGTGAGAAGATTTCAAATATTATTTGAGTTATTTTAGACCAGTATGATTAATTAGGCATATGTTAAATGAAATTCATCGATTTTTATTAAGAATTTACATGCCATTTTTTAAAGATTAGTATAAATCAGATAGTAATAGCTGTTTTTTATGACTGTAATAATCTGATGGAAATATTCAAAGCTTGGAATGATCTGCCTGTTATGTGAAAAACAGGAATAGCATTTATACTTGATCAACTAGTGTGTAATATATAAAACTTTGCAGTATTGAAAAAAAAACAACAACCCAGAAACTGATCCTATTTATCTATGGTACTCTGACAGGCTATATTCAGAATTGTGTCAAATACTGTGTGATATATATTTTTGGAATTGAAACCGCATAATATTTTTTTCCGTATACATGTATGTATTCAAATTTATGAAATTCTCTGTCTTTTAAAGAATACTCAGGTTATACTGTATGGTATGGTTTTATGCTTCTAATGCTGTTACATGTTAGCATGAAGGAACTCTGTCAATGGAGGGCAATATTAATTGTGTTACAAAGATGATAATGCTGTGACATGTATGTAATAAAATTGATGTAAATGTATATTTAATTATAAACTAGAAACAAGAAAAATGTTATTTTTATATAAACAAGTCTGCATGTCTATGTCTTTTGGGATTTAAAAGTTAAGCTTAAAATACTTATTTCTAAAGATTATGCATTGTGTTGTAATGTGTGGGTGTGTGAGGGTGTGTGTGCTTGTGTATGGATTTTTTTTATCCTGTCTCATTAAGATACAGTATCTATTAATCAGCTATTAAAATTGTCAAGTCTAAGGTCTAGGTGGAATTTGATGTTTTACAAAAAAAAACCCTCAGGTCTTCTTATAATAGCTGTATCTTGTTTGTTCATTTAAATTTTTCTAAACATCTGAATCAGAATCACATGTCAGTTTGTTAGAGTTGTATTTTGTGTACACTGTAGCCTGCAATAGTCACTAGTACAGTGTAGTTCAGTAGAATTTTAAAATTTGCTTTTCTGAACTATCAAAATCTCTTTTGATGAATTTTGTATATTATATTTTCAATATTGAACATTTATACATTCATTGAACAGATTGCATGGTGACTCAGCAATTACTGACCTTTCTAGTATTTGAGTTACTTGGTCAACTCTTGTATGACCATGCATACTACTTTTTTACTACAGATGTACATTCCAGTAGATACCAGCACTTAAATTAGCTTTATCCACTATTTCTTTAACTTAAGGAATGTTATTGTTTTAAAATTTCATGTAATTGACAATATATTTAATAATGATGTTATTATATGAAGTATGTACCTATAATTAGTTGCCAGTGCAGTATTTTTGTAGAGTTTTTTTTCTCCTCAGGTAGATCAGTTATCTATAATTAATCATAAAATGGATACACCTGAAAATTCTTGTTTTAAGCTCAAAATACTGAAAAAGATCGTAAGTACAATTAAATTATAATGTATATTATAATTTTTTTTAAAATAAATTTGAACATTCACTAGTTAAATTTAAATAAGTAATCTTTACATTTATAATATTTTCAATCCTGCTTCTAAGCTTCAGCCTATTTTGTTGTTCATTGATGTTTTACTGCAGAGAGTTAAGTTTTACATGAAAATCAGAAACATATATGTTTATAAAGTTATGTGATAGTTGGATCTGTAAATGTTAATGGTTTTAATAAATCATGAAAAAAAAATCTTTTTTATTATATATTGGTGTTATTTGAGCAAATTGATTTATTATAACTCAAGGAAGACTTTCTAGAACAGTATTTACATCTTAAGGAGGAATGCCGTACCAGAATTTTACTTAATATACCTTTAAGACATCCCTTTTTAATTAAAAAAAAATAATAAAAAATATATATCTGAAATACCAATGTTTTATGTCCTGCACATATGGAGCAGGTAATGTTGACAGTGTCACTCATCTGTCTTAATTGACTTGCTTCATTTGCTCCTTAGCTGATTAGCTAGACTCAGCATAGAATTACGTGTAATTATTCTCGGTAACAACTTAGTTTGGTGTGCAAGAACATATCAAGCATAATTTTTTTTCTTAACCATTTCATATGACCTTGACATTGATTTTCCTGCATTTATCATTCACATAATAATAATTATGACTCTGCCATAAAATGACTTGGCATATATTATCCCTTTCCATCCGTCATGTTGTCATAATTATTTTTCCAGAATAATTTGCTATGCTCCTGTGTAGAATATGAGATGGGAGAAACATACAAAAATCATGTAGAATATGAGATGATTTTTGGTATGTTTCTTGACATTGCTGACTTACAGATCAAGTGTGAGATTCTTGATGATTGAACCATTTTTACAAAAGTTATGACCCATAGACCTTGAATTTCTAATAATTACATGTTTTCCAGACTTTATTTTGGTGTGCTTGCAATAATGAGCTGATTTTGGTATTTGTGTCTTGATATTGATGACATGCAGATCAGTTCCAAGATTTGTGTTGACTGTCCCATTTTTATGACAGTTAAGGCCCCTAAACTGAAAATTTCTAAATCACTGTTTTCTGGACTCCCCCCTCCCCCCCCCCCCCCCCCTTGTGCTTGTAGATAATGAACTGATATTTATTGGTATGTCTCTCATGCAGTTATGATGACTTTAATAATTGATCAAATTCGAGTTTTGTGATGATTGACCTATTTTTACAAAAGTAATGACCTTTTCGACTTTGAAAATTTGATATTCAACGATGGTTTTTTTTGGGGGGGGGGGGGAGTTTTCAAGTCATATATTATTTATTTTCATACTAGTCTAGTACAGATTATTTATTTTCAAAATGATAAAGGACAGATTATTTATTTTCTTCTTCACTGAAAAAAGTTCAAGACAAGTAAAATAAATAATAATTATTAATAAAAAAAAAACAAAAAAAAAAAAACAAGAGGCCCATGGGCCACAATGCTCACCTGAGTAACTTTGGCCCTGCTGTTCTTCACCTGATTTCCCCCTTGTAATATCTATTGTGGCCCCGCCCTACCCCCAGGGGTCATGATTTGAACAATTTAAAATATACACTACCCCAGGATGCTTCCACATAAGTTTCAGCTTTTCTGGCACAGTGGTTCTTAATTGAGAAGAAGATTTTTCTTCTGTATTTTAATGTAAAATTGGATTCCATACTGTGGCCCACCCTACCCCCGGGGGTCAAGATTTGAACAATTTAGAATCTACACTACCCCAGGGTGCTTCCTCATAAGTTTCAGCTCTTCTGGTGCAGTTCTTCTTGAGAATAAACATTTTTCCTATATATTTCAATGTCAATCTTAGATTCCCTATTGTGGTCCCTCCCTACTCTCGGGGGTCATGATTTTAACAATTAAGAATTTACACTACATCAGAATACTTCCGCATAAGTTTCAGCTTTTCTGGCCCAGTGGTTTTTGAGATAAAGATTTTTCCTATATATTTCAATGTAAAACTTGGATTCCCTATTGTGGCCCTGCCCTGCCCACCGGGAGTCATGATTTGAACAATTTAGAATCTATACTACCCCAGGATGCTTCCACATAAGACTCAGCTTTTCTGGCCCAGTGGTTCTTGAGAAGTTTTTTTTTAAATTCTACATATTTCAATGTAAAATTTGGATTCCCTATTGTGGCCCCGCCCTAAACCCGGGGGTCATAATTTGAACAATTTAGAATCTACACTACCCCAGGATGCTTCCACATAAGATTCAGCTTTTCTGGCCACGTGGTTTTTGAGAAGATTTTTTAATAACCCTTCCTATTTTTGTCTTTTCATAATTATCTCGCCTTGTAGGGGGCTTGACCCTTCATTTTAACAATTTTAACTCCCCAATACACAAGGATGCTTTGTGCCAATTTTGGTTAAAATTGGCCCAGTGGTTCTTGAGGAGAAGATGAAAATGTGAAAAGTTTACAGACGGACGGACGGACGACGGACAATGGGTAATCAGAACATTTCCGCTCAGGTGAGCTAAACACTATTAAAAGAGAATGGAAAAACGCCAAAAACTCTATTTCAATGCCGGGGGTAGTATCACTGGACTTTCACATATTTAGATATTGGGATGCCAGCAGGGCATTCGTATCATTCCGGCACGTGTATTTTTTTTTTTAGCGGAGCCATGAAACCCAGAAACATTTTCTCGGAAAAAATATCGTTATCAATTCGAGTAGTATAAATGGCAAGCGGTAAATCTAGTCTTCCCGACTCCCGATGCCCGACTCCCGACGGTCCCGGATTTTGGTTTTTTGGCGATTTCTTTTTTATCGATGCACAGAAATTCTTCAAACTTTTCAGGCACCTTTTCTAAGTTTAAATGAATTCATTAATACATAAAAACCTTAATAAATTTACGCATTTAATACTGGATCAGCAGTATCACCTGCCAAAAAGCGGTAAATCTAGTACTCTGTTATAAATGCGAAAACCAAAGACGGACATCGCTGTTCTCGTAGAATCGCGATTAAATACAACAAATTGAAGTATAAATTTTTAAAGAAATAAAAGGAAAACCTCATTTACATGCCAATTAATTTGCATGCACAAAAACCCACATTTTCCCTTTTTTTCAATCTAATTAAAATATTATATTTTATATTTCATTTTTGTCATATCTTTTGGAATAACGTTTGCATTTTAATTAATTATATGTTTACCCTATGAAATGCAATAGATTTTAAAAAAAACAAAAACAAAAACAAAAAAAAACATGCATACAATTTATGAATCATCTAACAGTATTCCCTGGCACAACCAAGTTACTATAGCTTGGACTGTATATCTCTTCACTTTGAACTGTATCAGATGATTAGGAATTTAATTATATTATCCAAGCTGACAGTGCTAAAATATAGCTTTAGTTACTGAAGTGATAATTGTATTAAATAAATTTTCTATGATAAAAAATGTCTTAAGGAACCTGACTTTAAAATCACTTTGATGTTATGGATTATTATAGAATTAAAATGGGTTGGGTTTTTTTTTGTTTTTTGTTTTTATTGATAACACCATGCAATTATTCCCGCATGCACTGAAATACTAAATCCATCTTTTTGAGAAAAAATATCTTCCCAATTAATATCAATATTTTTTTGATTATCTTTAATAATACCTACGAAACCTCACGTCTCCGTTATGTATCGATGTCCGTCATTGGTTTTCGCATTTATAACAGAGTACGTACTAGATTTACCGCTTTTTGGCAGGTGATACTGCTGATTCAGTATTACATACGTAAATTTGTAAAGGTTTTTATGTATTAATGAATTCATTTAAACTTAAAAAAGGTGCCTGAAAAGTTTGAAGAATTTCTGTGCATCGATAAAAAAGAAATCACCAAAAAACCAAAATCCGGGACCGTCGGGAGTCGGGCATCGGGAGTCGGGAAGACTAGATTTACCGCTTGCCATTATAAATTAAGCTAAAATGAAAGTTGATCATTATCATCAAAACGTTTGTAATGACATAACGTAGAAACTGTCAATAACAAACTTCATGATATGGAAGGATGGAGAAACCAAGTAAAAGACAACAGCGCATTATAGAAGCAATCGAAGAAAACGACTTGTTAGCACTCGAACAATTGATATGCCGAGATAATGTATCTCCCAACTTTTATATCAATGGTACAACTCCCGTGTGTAAAGCAGCAACAGAAGGTAATGCGGAGGCTTTAGCTATTCTTCTTCGTGGTAATTGCATTCTTGATACACCGAATGTACGGGATGATGTTTGGCAGAGGATGCCAATACACATTGCCACATCCAAAGGACATGTTGCATTCCTAAAGCTACTTCTAGAACATTTTCACGATGTGAATATCAAAGACAGTGATGGACGCACTGCTCTACACTGGGCAGCTATATATGGAAACTCTGATATTGCAGAGATTCTTTTAAAAGAAGGGGCTAATGTAAATGGCGCACAGCGGGATGGTTTCACTCCTCTCTATGCTGCTACTTGCTTTGGACATATTGATGTATGCTGTGTTTTGCTAAAATATGGAGGAGATGCCATGGTATGTGATGAAGATGGGTGGAATATTCTCCACACAGCAGCTAATTATGGACATTTGTCAATTTTGAAACTAATGTCACTCTCTGGACCATGTTTATCTTGCAGAACAGTGAAAGGAGAGAATGCCTTGCACATTGCTACAAGTAGTGGTCATCTCAAAATTGTTGAGCACCTTGTGCAATGTGGCATTCCACTGAACACACAGACACAAAATGGTTTTACAGCACTTCACCTCAGCATTCAATTCAACAGACCAGCTATATGCAAATTCCTGCTGCAATCAGGGGCTGATATGTACATCCTCAACAATGAAGGACAAAGTATATGTTACTTAGTTGCTCTCAAGATGGACACAAAATTCATACAATTACTGTTGGATGCTGGATATAATTTCAGTACAGAACACTGGATCCGTAGCAATTCATTCCCAGCTACAAACAATAAGAATGAGGATATGCAAAGTTATATCAGGAACTGTGCACAGTTTCCATTATCTTTACTCCATCTTTGTCAGTTCAGAACAGCTCGTTTACTTGGTTGGAATTATAGGTCTCTTGCAGATTCCCTACCTCTTCCAAAATACTTAAAGGAAGTTGTAAAACAAACTGGACCATAACCCAAATAATACTCAATTAAAGAAAGTTGTAAAACAAATGATATTGTTTGTATTTCATCTCTATTTTTTGAATGTTATATAGCCACTATCCAAGAGGTTAAGGGTCATACAAAATACAAATTTAAACAAGCAAATTCAAAGAATTCTGGTTCCCTGCTTTCAGTGTCTGCGGTTAGGATGCAGCCTTTTATGGCATATTGTAACTGTCTTGTTTGTTTTTCCTTTTTTGTCTATGCATCACACAAAAAAGACATAAATCATTGAATTAATAACAGTTATGGCAAATGTTAAAGCTTCTCAAAACTGCATCAGAATTCAAGATCATGAGGTCAAGTACCATAATGCAATCTGAAAGGTCTTGTCACAAGCAATGTACATGTGAAAAAATATGAAAGCGCTGTACGTCTTCTCTGGACCAAGTTATGGCCAAAGTTAAAATTTTTCTATGAGTAGGTCAAAATTCTAGGTCAAGGTCATGAAGTCAGAAATGATATATCTCTGAAAGGGGTTGTCATAGGTAATGTACATGTAAAAATATGAAAGCCTTATCTTTTCTCATTCAAAAGTTATTACCAATGTAAAATTAATTTGAAAAAGACTGTAGATTAAACGTCAAGGTCACAAGGTCAAAAACCAGAGTACGTTTGGAAAGGTCTTGAAACGGGCAAGGCTCTCAATTGTCTATAATTTGGGCTGTTCAAGGGCCCCACTCCCAACTCAAAAAAAGGTACCTTTTTTTCCAGTTGAATGTGATAATTTTCCTAAATAATAATCATTTCTCCCAACTAGATGTGTCATAATGCCATGAATGCCCCTGAAGGCAGTCAAAATTGCAAATAGTAAAATGCACGTTTGTAGCCAAGATTATGATTAGAAATTATGAATTTTTAAACTTTTTCCAAGTTCAAGGGGGATAACTGTCAAAAATCATCGGACCATGACATATCCATATGTTAAGTTTGAGTTGAATGTGTGCAACTGTTGCCAAGATAATGAATGGAAAGTCAATGTTTACGGAATGATGGAGGAGGGTGTCACTCTATGCCCCTGGCCATTTTATTGGATATATAATATTTTATTGGATATATAATAACTTGCTATTTATATTCCTCTGTATTGCAAAACAAAAATTTAGTTGATAACAAAGACCAGAAATCCAATATATCATGATTTTAAAGTGTAATGGTTATCCCAAAATTTCCCAAACAGTCGCTGTTTTCCCAGTCTTTACAGCCCTGGCCCCATTTCCCAAAAGTTGTGCGAGAGCCCTGACAGTTTATGCACATGTCCAATATAAAAAGCCCTATCTTCTCTCAATGAAAAGTTATTAGCAGTGTTAAAATTTTTGAAAATTAAGTCAAACTTGAAAGTCTAGGTCAAGGTGTCAAAATTCATAACATGTTTGGAAATGTCTTGTCACAGTTAATGCACATGTCAAATATGAAAACTCTGTCTTTTCTCATTGAAAAGTTATTACCAATGTTAAAATTTTTGAAAATAAAAACAAACTTGAAAGTCAAGGTCACAAAGTCAAAAATCATAGATGTTTGGATTTCTTGTCACAGGTAATGCACATGTCAAATATTAAAGCCTCAGCTTTTCTCATTCAAAAGTTGTAACCAATGTTAAAATTTTTTAAAAGTAGGTCAAGCTTTGAAGATCAGGGTCACAGATCAAAAATCATAGTATATTTGGAAAAATCTTGTTACAGGTAATGTGCAACTGAAATATGAAAGCCCTATTTTTCTCATTCAAAAGTTATGACCAAGGTTAAAGATTGTTAAAATTTTTGAAAAGTAGGTCTAAATTCAATGTCAAGGTCACAGAATCAAAAATCATATTATGTTTGGAAAGGTCTTGTTATTGGTTATGTACATATGAAAGCCCTATCTTTTCTCATTCAAAAGTTATGGTCAAAGTTAAAGTTTCTTAACATTTTTGAAAAGTAGGTCAAATGTCAAGGTCAAGGGGTAAAAAATCATAGTATGTTTGGAAAGAACTTGTCACAGGTAATGTACATGTGAAATATGAAAGCCCTATCTCATCTCAATCACAAGTTATGACCAAGGTTTAAGTTTCTGTGACAGAGAGACTGACGGAGACTAACAGAGGAACAAATAAATGAGAATTAATGTCCCCCACAAAATGATACCCCCCCCCATTTCATTATAATGACAAAGTCCAAAGACCCGAAATAAGTGTCTGATCAAAAAGCAAAATAGAAGGTGCACAATGGCACCATGTAAAGATTCTGTGAAAGTATCATTCATTTTATTCTGTGGTAAAGGAGGAGTTGCAAATAAGAGATGGGTACCACTCAATATTATAGAAAGAATGGCAGTGTCTATGTTTTGCTATTGGAAACCCAAAATATGTGTCTGATCAAAAGTAAAATAGAAGGTGCACAATCACACTGTGTAACAAAGATTCTGTGAAAGTCTCATTCATCTTATTCTGTGGTAAAGGAGGAGTTGCGAATAAGAGATGGGTACCCCTCAATATTACAGAAAGAATGGCAGTGTCTAAACCAAAAATTGGTTTATTAGTATATATATATATATATTAGTATATATGACAAATGGATTTGTGTAATTATAAGTGTATTGCTAACAGCCATTACTTTGATAAAGAATGTTGACATTACAATTAATGTAAACGATGCATCATGGTCTGTACTGACTGACACTCTCTCACATTATTTTCTTTAAATATCCTTTATTTAAGAAATATCATAATAATTGAAAAAATTTAAGATGTACCCCATTGATAAAATTAATATTGTTTATTTAAATCCAGTAATCTTTTATAACACAAATTAACAATGCTTACAATTTTCTAAGCCTTCTTACATGTACATCTGTACATTTTAACACTCTAATAAGAGAAAAGTACAAATGGCATTAGAAGAACACCTAAATGTATTGACAACTTTTCTCTCTCTTTTTTAAACAAATTCAGCATGACTTTTCTACAAAAAGTTTACAAATACTACATGTAAATGGTGTCAATTATAAAGCAATCATTTTTTGGGGGAAAAGAATAATAATATAGAACACATTACATACATAGTATATGTACATATAGGAAAACTTCTCTAATCCAGACACCACTGGTTCCAAAGAAATATTGGCCGGATTAGACAACATTCAAGTTAAGACAAGATTTTAATCAATTCAATTTACTGAAATGGACTCAAATGTTAAATCGTATTAGACAAAATTTCGGAATACACAGCATCCAGATTAGACAAGTTTCACTGTATGTTCTGATAAAATTATATGTACATAAAAATTACTTGTAACAAATAATTTTCTTTTTTTTATAAATTGTTTTATAAATCATGAAGGAGATTGACTGAATGCTTCATATACATTGGCAGCTAATGTCTTGGCAGATTCCAGTAGCAATAATTCCTGTAAAGAAAGGGGAACAACTCAGCAATAAAACACAACTTGCAGAATATTTTAAAATAATTTGACTCCATATTTCTTATCATATTGGAAAAAAGTTCAATTCCATCAAAAATAACAGAAAAATAGATAAAAAAAAGATATTTTGAAAATAAATGCCTGCTTTTACCTGCATGAGTGGATTAGGAGCATCACTGCAGAGCTTGTAAAGACTGCCATTAAAAATGGGAATTAATTTTGCCATGGGTATTCCTCCATGTAAATAATCTGTGCTTTGACTAAAAAAAGAGCATAAAAAAATCAAAATCAAAATTACCCAACTTTATTTATGATTTCACCTTTTTACACAATTTATTGTTGTTGGAATGCTATTACCAACGGCAGACCTCTTATTTAACAATAAATCAAATATCATAGTGCAGCTTTAAATTAAATGCAGTATTCAATTACAGCATTGCACTTACAGAAACTCAAAGTCACCAGGAAAGAATTCTGTTGTTTATAAATATAATGAAGTTAATTTGTTTTGCAATTTTAAGGACATATGCAACGTACCTTACCTACTGATAATTTTTCAAGATATTCTTAATTTTAGATTATAGTGGCATCAGATGTTCGTAGGCAAAAAAATCAGCATGCATTACCAGGTGTTTTGAAAAGATATCAATTGATGAAAATTCTTGTATAATTCAAAGAAAAATATACCAAAATTACTAAGGATATATTCTAGATGTTTTGTTTATCCAAACTTGTTTTAGAAGAAGTGTACAATAGCATATATAGACATTTAAATGTAGCACACAGTTCCTTTAAGTACTGAAACTCTTCAACTTCAGGGAAAAAGGCAATAAAGTTCAAACTACATTGCATATGTCCTTAAGTAAACTTAATATCCCACCTGCTATTTAAATCACTAGACTGTAGGTTTGTCTTGTAGCTATCAGCAAGTAAATCCAACAGTTTGTGAAATCCTCGATCTAGACTAGTTTTCAGCACTGTGTGGAAGTCAGCACTGAAAAGGGAAAAACATGTACATGTAATTGAAATACTAGCCCTTTTTCCTCACTGAATATAGAATTAACTGTCAGATATAAAGTGAATACAAGAGATACTTTAAGTTGTGTATTACCTCTCTAAAATATCTCTTGTTTCTTGCATTAGATGTTTATGTATTTCATCATCTGTACCTTGGATTTCCTAAAAAAAAAAAGAAATCCATTTTATCAGTAAAGATGTAATGTTTTAATTATCTGTAGAGTGCAGTTACCTTCATAAGTACATGTAAAAAAAAAACTGAATATGTTATCTGAATATTGCCATTTGCAAAGATTTGTGCCACAGAAGTAACTGGTATGTGTTATATTTGATAAATGCATATACAAGTATTTTTTTTTTTTAAGTTATGTATGGCAACATTTATAAATAGTTGAAAATGTATATAAAAACTTTTGACATTTATATGTAACTGCTCTGCTTTGTTTTTATGAAGTTGTAAAAGTACACATACAGTGGGATTTGGGTTTTCTGGAGGAAACATGTAAGGACATAGCTGTATGGTTGGAGAGGACAGATTAGAAATTTCTGGGCTAGTCTCTAGTCTCTCTCTGATGTGTTGTAAACAAGACTCCACATTTTGAAGACTCAGTCGCTCCTTTAGGGAGATGCTAAGTTAGAACACCAAAAAATACTGTAAATCGTTTTAATTCCACAGTGTTAAAATTTTACTGTTTATCAGAAAGTTCCAATCGCAATGGTTTTAATTTCACGCAGCAAGAAATTAATTTAAATTTCATATAAGGATTTAAACATTTAAAAAAAACTACTAATAGCAATCACGATGGGTTTAATTTTACGGAAAAATGATGAATCGCGAATATAGTGAAATTAAAACCATCGTGATTATTTGCCAATCTTCAGTATTGAGAAAAACACACCAGTTTCATATTTTTTTGTTTGTAAATGTTGCATAATTTTTCATGGACAGAAATTTTAAATACCTTGAAATTTCTTTCTTAACTGCAGACTTTACATGTTCGCCAAGCTGGCAGATACCTAAGGCAAGAAAATACTGCATTGAATAAAAATATTACAAAGCTTGCAGAAACTTTCTTTCAAATTGCTTGTTAATTCAATAATTGTCTCATGCAGATCTAGCCCTGACCTTTGTCCATAAGATATTTGATCTCAGACAGATATTTTTCTTGGACAGATTTTGGTAACACAGGTGTACTTGGGTGACTGGGTGAGCTTTTTGGCCTCTGAAACAAACAATACTTCAAATGCACCAAGCTCAAACAAACACTGTAACAGTATAGGCATAACAGTGAGACAATTTTTTTCAGATTCTGCATTATCCTTAATTTGCTCAAACGTTCAGAAATATGTAACACACCTCCTTATCTTGGTTGGAGGTGTTGTTATTTTGTAGATAAATATATCCACCAATCACATTCAGCTGGATTCTGACAACGAGAGACATCATACTACAGGAATAGATCACACACACCATCCTTGTCATGCCTGAAATTTGTAAAGGGAAAACTGAATCCTTGAGACTTGCTAAATGACAGGCTTGGGACTAAAAACATACACTGTATCATTATTGAGTAAGCATATTTCCAATTCATAAAAGGACACACATACACTCTGTATAAGCATTAATTTGTTTCTACAATGATATTACAAATTTGTGGAATCAGCTTAAAATGCTAGTTAAAATTATAAATTAGATGCTGGTCTTAAGGACATCAATGTTCATTCAACATTTGCATTCTCTCCCTCTAACATAAATGAAAATGAGTTCAAGTGATCACTCCTTATAAAAACATTTTAAAATACTTACTTAGGATCTTCAGTTCTTCCCACAATTCCAATTTATTGCTGGGGCTGAAAGATATGTGATGCATCACTACTCAATACTATTTCATGAATGAAGAACATACATTCCTTACAATTAAATACTTTTATACAGTAGTACTTAACATTTGGATCTTTTTGCAAAGCCTGTAATTCACTTTAATGATACCAAATTAAAAGCTGTGTACAAGTTATTTGTGAACCATAATTCATATGGATATCACCTATGCCCACTGATTCTCTCTTACCCATCTTCTTGTCATCAAATTCAATGGAATTAATTTTTTTTTCAATTATGAGTTATCAAGAGGTTTTTACTTTCAGCATTATTGCTTTACACTACATCTAGTTCAGAAACATTTAAAACAATATTATGATTTTTTTTTTGTCCCAGTAAAAAAAAATTGCGTACTTTGCTTTCAGATTTTCTGTGATGGATTCAGTATCAAACATCTGCTGAAGGATTTCCCTCAAATTGGGTACCATGGAGAGAACTGAAATCCAGGTGAATGATTAACAACACAGTTAGATAAATATAAAATATTTTTTCAACATGATTTGAAAAAATTTCACGAGAACCAAGTCTGGAGTTTCATGTCTAAGTACACAGTCAACAAAGAAGTGAAAGAACACTATAGTTTTATCACATACCTGTCATATTGCATGTTCTCTGATTGCTATCAAAATGGTGCTGTCTCCTGCAACAAGATATAACTATATCCTTAAAAATATGGAACAATAATAAATAAAACACAAAGCTATCAATTTTAACAGATTTTCCCTTACCTGGCATGTGTCAAACATTCATTTGCTTCTTTTTCCTGTATTTCTTTAATTCTTTTGTGGGCATATCTATATGCCATATACACACCTGTGATGAAAGGTATATACGTTTTGATCACATTTATTTTCAAATCTATAGCAAACTTTTTTTTGTGCGCGTATGAAGGAACTTTTTAAGGGAACGTTTCAAATAAAAAGTGTATTCTTGATCAGGTGGCTAACAAGGTGTTACATGTTTGTTGTAATCTACATATAAATAGATCTGAATACCTCCAAAAAATATTCCTCCATAGATAAGTTTTCTTCTGTGTTTTTTAATTTGCGTCCATATCCACGAAATCATTATTATTTTACGATACCATGTGCAAAATGCAGACTTTGGTCAAAAAGTGGGTATAAACAATCAATGTAAGTAAGATGCTTGAATTCATACAAAGTTAATTTGTTCCTAAATTATTCGGATAATTATTTACAGAGTTGTAAAGAAATATAACAATTGACTCTTAAGGTTCATAAACCCTCTGATATAAATTCACTCATCTAAAATGTTAACTCTTATGATTTTCCAAAAGAAATGTATTTTATAAGTAAAATAAAAACAAATATAGCATAGCTTGCTGGCCAGTTTAAGACAAAAAAGGCACTTCAACTTGCTAATTTATAAAGGATTAATTAAACATTTATGTCTCTTATCAGAGTATCAATGAACCTTAATTGTAGATTATTTCATCAAATCTGATAGAAAATAATGCTTATTTATAATCAGAGATCAAAAATGTCTCTAGATGATCACTGAAGCAATTTTTTTAAATTATTTTTTCATTGACAAAAACCACATGTGGCACAAGTATTTTACTATATGCTATATTTACATTAACTTCCAATGCCCATGGCCAAATCTAAACCATTCCTTCCTTCTCCAATTTGTCATTGGATAAGAAGACAAACCCAGGATATCATATGACCTTTGGACCATGCAGCAGCTAGGCACCTACAGGGATTGCACTGAATGTACCATGGAAGGAAAAAAAATGATGAACTAACCAGGATTTGAACTCTTTATTCTCTACATTGTGTATGAATGCTTTACCAGTTTGGTTATAAAGTCCCATTGACATCATCCTGGTCAATTACACCACCCCATACTGTCACACTACACTGCATATATGTTAAAGTGTTTGCATTGAAGAATGAATTTAGCTAGTTACATTAAAATAAGCTATCGGAGAAAGGCAGTATAAAGATAACTGCACAAAAAAGCATGAATTTTCTAGTTAAGAATTGAACACTTCAATAAGTATAAGGGTTTAGAGGGGGAAAATGGAGTAATGTGAATTCCAGATCTTCAGGGAAATTCAGTTCAGAAATCCAAATGCATTTTAACATATCTTATTATAAATAATCTTGAAAGTCATTTGTCACAAAGTAATGTAATAGGACACAGATAAATTTATACTTCATTTATTGCATTTTTTAGGATCATAAATGTAGCCCCTATACCATATACACATAACTTTCAAACATTAATATTCAATAAAAGAATCAAAATCAATTGTGGATATGAACTTTCAATACTGATAAATAATTGTACATGCAGATGGCATTTATTGCTCAAGAGGTTACTACAAAACATCATTGAACAATTACTGTAAACCAATTTTTATTTGCAGGCAAAAGATATCTGCGAGTTTCACAACCTTGCTTTACTTGCAAATATTTATTGCGGCAAATTTTTTATTGTTTTGTGTATATACATGTACATGTAACTATATAAAATATTTTCCCCAAAAATTAGTTGCCATGGAAATGTTTTAAACTGACAAATTGAGAATAAAAGTTTTTGTGAATACTGTAATAGTTGGTTTTGGCACTTTGAACATAGCATTTCAATTATCTTGTTCCAGTCCTCGACATTATTTGGTCATACTGCTCAGATTGAATCCTGTCAAGCCTGGGTGCTGTTCCCACACTAACATAGAAAAACTTCCTGATGCGCTGGACTGTTCGCCAGTGAAACATATCCTTAATGTCATGAATATGTCCATCATCAGGTTTTCTTGCCTTGTCTACCAATTTTTTCCTTGCGTTTTTTAACATGTTTTGGAATCTTACTTTTTCTTTTTTCTTTTCTTTCCTCCTTAACCTCTTTCTTTCTTTCCTGAAAATCAAATTAAATTATGAAACATTTTTCTGATCTTAAGTTATTTTGCTTTCATATTATTTCATCAATATGAATACTCCATGCTTGACGAAGCATGTCTCTCAATGGGCTTTTCTGACAATCATATGTTTGTTGGTTTGAATTTTACCATGATCTCTTGAATTAGCCAAGGTATTCTGCATTTGGACAAGTATTTACATGTCTTGTCTCAGTCAACTCATTTTATTTCCTTGGACTTACTTTTCTGCTCTCAGTTGTCTCGTTTTTGGGTCGAAAGTACTTTTTAGAATTATCTCCCTTTCCATCCTCTTCTTCATTTTCCTCTTCCGACCCCTCTTCAACCTCATCTTCTTCACTGCTGTCAGTTTCATTACTATCATGTTTGCCTCCTTCTGTTTCATTTTCACCATTGTCAGCCAATAAAGCTGGTTGCTGTAAGATTTAAAGAAATTATTGATGTATTTGAATGAAAATTATGAAAGCATTCAAAATTTTCTATAATTCAATGTATAAAACAAATTTGTTTCTAAACTGCATTGAATATAAAATCTGAATATGAGAGAGAGAGAAGCCTTTCAATCTTTTTTAGAATTAACTACACATTTATAAAAGAGGGAGGAAGACTTGATAAGACTAAAGGGGAGGTAACTTACCATTCTCACTCCTTCCAGATTTTCTTGTAATCCCATGAGAGTATGGTAAAGCATCTGCAAAGTGATTCAAATAAATTACTTAAAATGTGAGTTATATAATACAATACAACAGTACATTTATATAAGTTTTCAGTCCCCATTTATATGTTTTTTAATCCTTCCACATAATAATGTGCCAATATAATGCTATAGATTGCAGAAAATAGAAATTCACAGAAATCATCTTATGTTAAACATCATTAATTTGTGCATAAACAGAATGTACTACATGGTATAAAATTTGCTTTTTTGATGTAGAACAAGTAATCAAATGCAGTCATTCTAAAGACACTATTCTGTATACCTACCCCTTCTGTCTGTCCTTCCTTGGCCAAAATGACATCACGCTCAAAGTCAATCACCTCATCTAGATTCCGTGGAATGAATGAATGCTTGAAAACCTTAATAATCCAAATCAATTCACATTAAATAAATAATTCAAAAATATTTAATAAAAATCTTAACAAATTATAATTTCTGTCATTTTTTTTTTTTTAGTACTTCTGTCTTAATTCTCAGAAAATGTACCTCCTCATCAATCTTTTGCTGCTCCGTGACATCCTTGGTGGTCCTCTGTGAGGTCAAGGTCATGGCTTTCTCCAGGTAAAGGTCAATGTTTTCCTCAGTAATTGTGGCATCAGTAACAAAGTCAAACAGCTCCTTTACTGTCAGGGTGCTGACATCTTTCTTTTTGAAGAACTCTAGTGAAGACATTAATCTCGAATTTATGAAATGATTGATAGCTTCAATAGCAAAGGAATAATGAGAAGAAATCTGATTTCAGTTTCCACAAATTAAATGTATAGTAGGGTACAAGTAATGAATGTAATCTTGGATGAGATTCAGCTTGTATGGATATTTGGACTGACGCCTTCACAGAGTCTCGGGACAGTCCTTTATAATTCATGTCATGACATTGGCCATCATTTTAATGGAAAATTTAGAGCTTGTTTTTAGTTTAGGACTTACATACCTACACAGTAAGCAATGAAGTATAAATAGTAACAGAGAATTCAATTAAGATAAACATTCAAAACATTTATCTGAATCAGAGGGCAGTGTCAGTGAGGTGCATATCAATAGCTTGAACCAACTGAAGTGGAGTGTAACTTTCCAGACATGAATCATAAAGGAATGTCCAAGGATTCCATAAAGGCATCAGTTCAATATCCAGCCAAGCCAAAACTCAGCAGAGATCAGCAATAAATGTAGATTTAACCCTTGTCTATTGACCTGTTATGTTTGTGCAATCCTTCCTTAGAAATTCTAGGGCACAGGGGTGGTCATGTTCAACCGACTGAGAGACATCAATCACATACACCCCTCCATTGTGATACCTGAAAATACAAATCTGTAAGTACAAAAATAATCTAAAAATAAATACTCTGGGGTACCCCTCCATTGTGATACCTGAAAATACAAATCTATGAGTACAGAAATAATCTAAAAATATATACTCTGGGGTACCCCTCCATTGTGATACCTGAAAATAGAAATCTCTAAGTACAGAAATAATCTAAAAATAAATACTTTAGAGTACCCCTCCATTGTGATACCTGAAATACAAATCTATAAGTACAGAAATAATCTAAAAATAAATACTCTGGGGTTTCAGTGGCCTTGATCAATAAAATGTCTAAATACAATAAATGTCATGGAAACAAAAACAAGAAATATTTTATTTTTCAAAGTACATGTACCTTAATTTCTGCCATATTCTAAGAACCTAGTATCTTGGCTAAATAATAAGTTTTACCAAAATTATGATCAGAATTTGAAGCAATCGTGGTCTTGAAATAGTTCAAACGTAAACATCTTTTGAACTGACGTCGAGTCTTATCAGATCTTTACTTAATACAGTTGCTCATTCCAAGACTTACAGTATATTGAATTCACTGAGATCAGCATGTACAAGACGACAGGTATGGTACAGAGTACGGATGATATGTATACACTCTAGGTACAGTTCTCTGGCCTTTGCTTCTGAAATATCACAGTCCTTCAACAGAGGTGCTGGCCTAAAACAATATTTTATTTTTGCAAATCAAGAGTTAAACATAATCTTGTTTTTCAGTGCTTAAAGGTCTTGTGCAAAGAAATAGTCAATCAAAATAAACTAAGCAATCAAGCTTCATATAAATAGAGCCAATTTTTTATCCAGTTTCTTCATTTTTTTTTTTTTTTTGCATTTTTCTTTTTATATATATATATAGATATATATATTTTTTCAATTCAAATATTAGAATTATTATTATTTTATGGAATATTTTTCCATTAAATTAAATGCTTTTTTTCCTTTGTGTATGATCCAGCTTCCTGGATGGTGTCTAGACTTCTGTCTACATGTGAAAGCAACATGCATTTCTGAGTTGGTGTGTTAACTGTTTTCTCTTTTAAATGATGGATAAAGCGTATTTTTCTGACCTCATTTTTTGGTCAAGGCATAAATCATTTTAGTCCAGTTAATTTCTTACTCTAATCAAAGCTTTGTAATAATACAGAGTGAAATTATAGTGTGTGAGACCTTTAGGATTAGACTTGCTCAAGTCTCTATATTTTAGTGCCCTCTTTTATACTTTTTGATAATGTCAAACATAAAGTCTCTATGTTTGATAACAATTTACTATGCTAGAGAGCAACAAGACAAAAATGAACAAAGAATTAAAAAAAAATAAAAACATAGAGACTTGAGCAAGTCTACTTTAGGATATTAAACAATGGTTATGCTTTGTTTTAAAAAAACAAGTCAAGCATAATACTAAGCCAAGCAGCTTCATCTCATTGAAACTCATATACATTCAAAATAACTCTAATTTTAATTAATAACAAAGTAACAATATACCAACCAGCCATCTGTGCCAATGAACTGCATTACCAACACATGACTTCTGAGAAATATTGGCTGTGGACAAGGAAGACCTGCCTGGTGCATCCTGGATAATTTTCCAAAATTTACTTGTATTACCATCAGTTGTTTAAAAGTAAACATAATAACACTGTATCATATAATCTTTTTTTTTAAATTAAAATCTCTCCTACTGTGTATGCTTTTATTAGAGGTAGGACAAGACAGATCTAAAAATACATAAGTTTACATTTGGGTCTTATGATACCTGGTTAAATTCCTCATTTCTTTCTCTGCCCAGGTTCTAACCATTTTCCTTGGATTGTGTTTACAGTAACCATGACGAAATCTGTATTCTCCTGTCACATATTTATCTCTATCTTTGAAAACAAGGATAGAAGTTTTGTATACCTACAAATGAAAACAAATAATGAAAGCTTTGAAATAAAAGCATCATGAATGGCAACAAAATTGATCTGCAGTTGTTGTTCACCAAGTATGGAACTAAAGTTGTTCTATTTTTGAATTTTTGAGAATGTGATGCAAGAGCTCTTATTTAGCCATTTTCAACCTGGTACTTTTCCAACAGCAAATGCTTCAATTATCTTTTAATGATTTTTTCAGTCACTGCAAACCAATTTCATAATTGAAACTTGCATACTTCAACCAATAAAAAAGCCAGTAGGACTACTGAACCTTGATAGCCCGATCCCCCTGGTTGTGTGTTGTAGCATGATAAACATTGGCCTCTTTCCCTGTACTGATACAGCCATTAATTTCACTGATAAGTCCTCGTTGGAGGAGCTTAAAGAGGATCATCCTTGTCCTGGGGTCCATCACCTGCTCTGCTGTAGCACGGTCCTTCTTGTCCTTAGACTTCACTCTGGAATATGAATCAAAGCTATTACAAGAAAATTGAAAAAAAAATTAAAAATTCATTCTCTTAATGTTATGACTCCTTTAAGATCTGACATATTAGATGATGGTCTTCACATTCAATCTACATAAAACAGTAATCACCTGTCACTATCCATTTTCTTTCCAGCATGAACTAAAGCTGATGCTGCTGCATTGGGTAAAACTGGACCTTCATATTTCTCTGAAAAAAAAACTACTGTATAACCTTCAAGAATCCACAAGGTCTAAGATATAAGTTTTGACAATGCAAATATATGAGGATGTTATCTTTGAGAAAATATTATGTACATAGAATTTTCCTTACCTACATTAATCTTATCCACGAATTTACTTAAAGCCTTGTCTGCTGGTTGAAAAGCTGTCATTTTTTGATGTTGCTGCTTTGGTGGATTGGCATTAGGCTAGGAAAAAAATACAACACCCAACTACTTAAAAAGTAACAACAGTATTTGTAATGTATAGTAGTATATTGTACTTTAAAACTTTGAAGGAAGTTTGATTTCTTTCTTATTATCTAAAAGTCATAGTACAACATACCTGTGATATGTGGGCTGCTGCAGCATTATACTTTTTGGTAAAATTTCCAGTACAACCATCCCAGTCATACATGTCTTCATCATCTTCATCCTCCTCTTCATCATCATATTTATAATCGTCGTCGTCATCATCATCATCGTAATTGCATTTTACAGCATCATAAGCTTGACATTCATTTACGTTCCTTAATTTGAAAGAGAGATAAAACATATTAGACAGGGACAAATAAATTGCACAATAATGTGTAAATAATTTAGAATATTAAGGCCTATTTGAACATTTTGTTTGTTTGTTTTTTAAACATATTAAAAATTCATTAGCTCACAGTTCTAATAAATCATCCACATCATCAAATTGTCCATCTACGATTTCAAAGCTTCTTGACATTTTGCTACCAAACTCCTCGTGTCTTTCCACAGAGAATAGAATAACTGTATGTCGAGCCCGATAAAAATAAAAAAAATCGCTGGATTTTTGTATAAAGATTGTTACGTCAGATAATTAAAATAGTTTATTTGATATAAGTTTATATCTTTTTAAACACTAAATATCAGTTAACTCTGATGCTGTATTTTGAAAAAAAGTAGATTAACGGGGGATCGGACATCACATTTTAACATCGTCTGCAATGTATCCAAACTTCTTGGTTTCCCTGCAGTCTGCAGTGCAGAGAATAGTTGTTGGTTTATTTATTTATTTTTTATATGTGTATGCATTGCGAAAGAAAATATATTTCAGTTTCTTAATTAAGATCATTTACTTATACAAGCAGGAAACAGTTCAATGTTCTTTAAAAGTACGGCAGAAATCAATAGGCTTCCAGGGAACTGATCGATAATTGCAGTGGTGCTGTGGATGTTGTTGGCAAATATTGGCAGATTTCGAGTTTCCCAGAAGTCTGATATTGTGAGGTTACATGTAGTCCAATGGACAGACCCTACAGCGGGGATATCGCATGAACGGTAAAACACTGGTAAACTTCTTCTAGTAATTATAAATGCTTTACAATTATAATTCAATGGTTCACTAATAATTTTGATGCCCCTAAATTTACATTTCCTTAGTATATATTGATACGTAGATGTGCATCAATTTTATATAGTCTTGTCATTAAGGGATGCACAGATAATAGAAAAAGTCCCCCCCCCCCTCCCCATTACATTATCAGCAAGGCAAGGCTGATAAATATGGTAATACATCATATGAGTACAATGAAACTCATTATAGCAAAGTTCTGGGGACCTGTGAAGTTACTATGCTATACCCGTATAACAAATTCAGTAAAGTGTATAAATATGAATTGAATTATAAATATAAATACTTAATATGAAATATAATATGTCAGTTCAGTAATTCAATTTTAAAAGTTAAAAGATGTAAATTTTATTATTATTAAAACCAAAGGGATGCAAAATCAGTTTGCCTTATCCGAAAAATTTGTTATATGAAGAGTTTGTTATAACCATAAAATTTGACAAAGATTTGTTAAGAATTTTGCCAGGGATTCATGAAAACTTCAGTATATCCATAAATTCACTATATCCGTGTTAATACTAAACAAGTTTTACTGTACTCATTTCTTGTTTATGGTTTAATACGTTTATTTATTAATAAATGACAGATCCTCATACTTGGAAGTTACATGTTATATTTTTCATGATTATGAAAGGGCTGTCATGTAGTCAGGACAAACTAGGCACTAGTGGACTGAGGACATGTGGTGGCTACTAATTTTCCAGATTGCAATCATCCAAACAAGGGGAGAGTACCCATGGGATGAGTATGAACAAAGTACACATGGATCTCTAGAGGGTGATGTCCTCAACTGGGCAGTGTTGATACAGAATTATATTTTACAGGTACATATGATAATGGTCAATTAAAAAGCAGTTAAGCATGTTAATAAAGTCTGACTTTCTGTCAATGAATTAACTTCAAAATGAATTTTTAGGCTATTATAGAACTTTTTTAAAAATTTATATTCATGTACATATAGCCAATTTTTTGTAAAATATTAATACTGCCAGCAATATCTGGTCTGGAGTTACACCTTCTAAGATCTTTATTCGTTCTCACGTGCCCTCTAAGCTACTGTAGATTCTTAAATGTAAGCAAGGAATTCATTAAAGTATTGTGTAATTTCCCAAGAATCATTACTCTTGGAATAAAATTATCAGCTTTTATTTTTATAATGCTGGGTTAATACATGTAAAAACTCTAGATCAACAGTCTACATACAATTATTCATGTTCTGGCATTTTGAAGTCTGAGAATCATTATACAATATTAGGTACTCACATAAAGTAATAAATCTACTGTGTTTCTTTGTGTCCTTAATTTGTTATCATTAATTTATAATGTTATACATATACAGTTGAGCTTCAATATCTCGAATACTGATATCTCGAATACCATGGATATGTCGAAGTGATTTGGAAGTCCCAACCACTTATTCTTTAAGTATTTTACCCTTGATATCTTGTGAATACTCGGATATCTCGACGTTTTTCAACAGTCCCATCGAGTTTGAGATAACAAGGTTTGACTGTATTTTAATTATATTGAAAAGAGGATAGAATGGGGGTCAAGGCATTAAAAACAAAGAGTTAAATGATTTAAGTGACATATTAAATGTATCAATTAAGTGTGTCAGGGGGAATGCTGTAGAAAAAATGAGGTAATTTTTTTTTTTTGATTTGCTTTTTGTTTTGGTGTGGGTAAGGAGAATAACCAACTTTTTATGCCAACAAGCATTTAAAATAATTCTTGCATTAATGTATTTGCTGCTTCTGCAAATTATCCCATGCTCCCAGGTTCATTTTCACCATGCATGCACACGTAGACACTTATTTACACCATACCTTGCATATTCATAAACTTCTTGTAACTGTTTTGCAGTAAATTAATTTTATGTAATTTAGAATGTACTTACTGACAGATAAATTTATTTTAGCTAGCCAGTGATGGCATAAAAAAGGACTTTTCCCAAGTGTATTTAGACAAGGCAAATTACACTTTTGAAAGAAAAGATGGGCAAAAAATTGTAGAGCAAGTGAAACAGGGACTAGGAGAATACTTCAGCAAGAAAAAGGATGCAGCAGAGGTACATTGTATATGCATCTCACAGAAAACTTTATATCTCTCCAAGTGTTATGAAATTTCATAGTCTATTTGCCCTAAACTTACAATATTCCACTTCATTTATGTTATATGGTAAGAATAGATTTTAAACAAACTTTCCTTTATGGCTATTTTTTTTTCAATTTTGGCACATGAACTCCTACCTGAAAATTTTTTTTGCTGATTTTAATGAAAATGTTTATATTCCAGTCACTCTTAAATCTTTATATATTCCAGTCACTCTTTGATCTAGATTTTTATTTCAGATACTAGCACAGAAAGTAAAGGAAATTTATGAAGAGTTCTATAAAAAGAAAAACTTTAAGACTCAAAAGTTGTCAGACCTGGACGAAAAACAGTATAGAGATTCTGATATTCCTGAGCAACTAGCAGGCAGCCTTGAGTTTGCTCCGTAAGATTTTTTTTATTTTGAAATAGAAATTTTTTTTTAAGAAAAGTATTGAAAATCTGAATCTCATTCAAACTGACTCAGGTGACCTATTGCTATCTGTTTTCATCCATCGTCATGTGTCCTGCATTAACATTTGTACATTTTCATTTTCTCTGGAACTGTTAAACCAAGTTCAACCAATTTTGGCATATTGCATGATTAGCATCTTTGGGTGAAGGTGAACAAACATTGTGAATTTCATGGTCCCCACTCCCCACCCATGTGGGGCCTGAGAGGTGAAGTTAAAAACATAAAAATTAATGCAATCTTTAAAAATCTTTTTCTTTACTCCTGGACATCAAGCAGTCAAACTGTTGGCATGATTGTAATGAGCATTGAGCCTTCTATTAAAATTGTGAAATTCATGGCCCCAGAGTCAGGCATTCTGAAGTTAAGGTGGGGCTCTATTGATCATATGTACAGTGAAAATGCTAGCTGCAGATCTGTAGCTCGCTGGTCTTAAATACGACCAGAGAGCTACAGTGCCACCCAATGAAAAAAGTATTTGTACTGCGCACTGAAAGTGTGCTGTTTCTTGATTTTTTCACGGTATATCTCAAAATATTACTAACCGTGTGTTTCTAACATATTCTTTACTTATTTCTACAACAAAGCTGCATGTACAAGTCATGCACGAAGCATAGTGGACTGAATCATCTTGCCAACTACCGGGTAATATGGAAGTATAAATAGGCTAAATTATTCAATGGTCTCAATTTCAGGCCCAGGAGGGCTATAAACAACAGTTCTGGGTAATGTTTTGTCATGGAAGTATTAAAAGAATAAACTAGGAACACACAGTAAAATTTTGAGATGACAGCATAATTAAAAGGAGATATAAATCAAGAAAAAGTGCACTTTTTTGTGCGCAATAAATATACATTTTTTTCAATGGGTGGCACTGTAGCTCTCTGGTTGTCCATCCCAATTTTTTCAGAACAGCGAGCTTCAGATCTGCAGCTATGAAAATGCATAAATTCTTTCAAAAGCTTCTTCTCTCCCCATGTTTTTCAGCAGACAAAATAAGTGTAAAGTTAGGATGACCAAGGGTGCCTCTTTCAAAATTTTGAAATTCATAACCCCGTGTCAAGGGTTCTGATATTAGGACAGGGTTCTATCTCTTTCTCTCTCTCTCTCTCTCTCTCTCTCTCTCTCTCTCTCTATATATATATATATATATATATACATATACATAAAGTTAAAATGCATTATTTCTTTTAAAATCTTCTTCCCTGTCCCTTGATATTAAGCAAACAAACAAAGTACATGGTTTTGAAAAGCAATGGTATTTCTTCCAAAATTTTGAAATTCATGGTCCCTGGGTTAGGGGTTCTGATGTAAGGACAGGGCTCTATTGATCTAGAAGTGAAAATGCATAAAATCCTTTAGAAATCTCGTGTATCTTTAGCAGACAAACTAAGTGCATAGTTATGATGAACAAGGGTGTCCCTTCTAAAGTTAGTGAAAATCATGGCCTCTGGGTCAGGGGTTCTGTTGTTAGAGTTGGGTTCTATTCATTACATATTTAGAAACTTTACATCTTTAAAAATCTTCTTCTCTGCCCCTGGTATTTTGCAGATAGACTAAGTACATAATTATGAAGATCAAGGGTACGTCAATCAAAATTGTGAAATTTCTGGTCCCTGGGTCAGGGGTGATGGGATTCAGATGGGACTCTGTTGCTTATGTAGTGAAAATGCTTTAATTTTTTAAAAATCTTCTCTGCTCAGAGTTGTATGATACTCAGGTGGTTGTTAAGGCCCTTCAGCTTTTGTTTTAAATCTCTGAATTGCACTCTTTATGCTAAATAGTGAGTTTTCTGTGATAGTCTATTTG